TGTGGGGAACAATGAGATTCGTCTCGTATCCAATGAATCCCAAAGAGCAGTACCCAAGCGAGGGTAATTGTGACCACACGACTCGGCTGTTATAGTCCATTGGCTGCACCAATCACCACTTTCTATACTCCTGAGATTAGCCTGTGATGCCTCGTGGCCCTAAAATCCGGAGATGGAACGTTTTGGCTCTACTGGCACCCCCTATAGGGAAAGGCTGGTCTGACATACCACCAATCTGGCTAGTCTGTGCATGAGGCATTTCTAGCCCCGGCCCAGCGCAGAATTCGTCCTAGCGTCTTGAGAAATAATCGGATTTCTTTAATTCTATCTTTTCTAATATGTGTTTCAACCGCAGAAACCGGGGAGAGCTGTCTACCCAAGCGACTCAGCCAAGACATCAATTCTCATTAACCGGCTAATATCACAGCTTATTTTATCCCAAGATGGCAAATCTGAATTGCTTAAAACCTCCGGCGGAGCCCCCCCAACTCTACATTCCTCTGCTTTGTTGTGTCACAAGCTCGGTGGACATCTCACCTCTCTACTTGGATACTTCATTCACTGCGTTCACCTAAGCAGAATATACAGACAACATGGGTATCGCTGTCGGAGCGTCGACTCTACAGTCCGATTTGGACGCGACTCAAGCTGCACAGCCTGAATTGGAGAAAGTTAACTGGTGGCAAGAGCCTGGTCTGCGCAAGCTCTATTTCTGGGCTGCTGTGCTTTGTGTTGCTTCTGCTACTACTGGATACGATGGGTAAGCTTTATAGATTCGTGATCGGATATGTATGGAGCTGACGGCCTCGCGCAGAATGATGCTTAACACGTCCCAGAATTTGGATGCGTGGCAAGTGTACTTCGACCACCCCAGTGGCGACAAGCTGGGATTGATGAATGCAATTTACCAGATTGGTAGTCTTGCCAGTTTCCCTTTCGTGTAAGTTATCCCGTACTAAATACAACAGAAGCTTGCTGACTTGAACTAGGCCTTTCATCGCTGATCGATGGGGTCGCAAGGTTCCCATCGCGATCGGATGTGTCTTGATGATTTTCGGTGGCTTGCTCGGTGCATTCTGCACAAACTATGGAAGTAAGCTTGGCCATTTTGGGTCATCCCGAGGTCAGGTCGTCGCATTTACTAATCCTATTTAGTGTATGTCGCCGGTCGATTGCTCCTGGGCTTCGGCAACAGTCTGGCCCAGATGGCATCCCCAGTCCTACTCGCCGAGATCTGCCACCCCCAACACCGCGGAAAGGTTACCACTATTTACAACTGCTTGTGGAATCTGGGAGCACTACGTATGTTTCCTTCAGGCCAGTCCCTGGACGCTGGTGTGCTGACTGGGTCTAGTTGTCGCGTGGCTTGCATGGGGAACGATGTATATCAACAACGATTGGTCCTGGCGCAGTTTGACCATCCTTCAAATCCTCCCCGCTGTGATTCAGATTGCCTTCATCTTTTGTAAATTCCATTTTCCCTGTACTGGATTGGATCCAGGTGGCTGACCATTACTAGGGGTCCCGGAATCTCCTCGTTGGCTCGTCTCTAAGGAGCGATACGAGGAAGCATTGGACACACTTGCCTACTACCACGGCAATGGAGATCAGAACAACGCCACTGTTCAATTTGAATACCGTGAGATTAAGGAGACTATCAGCTTGGAGATGCGGTACCAGAAGAACAGCAGCTATTTGGATTTCATGAAAACCAAGGGCAACCGTTACCGCTTGGCACTTCTGATTTCTCTGGGTGTCATTTCCCAATACAGTGGAAATGCCTTGTTCAGTAACTACACCAATTTGATCTACAACAGCATGGGTATCACCGAACAAACTAAGAAGATTCCTGTTCGTGGCTCCTTCCCCTCCACCAAATAAACCCTCACTGACATTCCATAGCTCAACGGCGGACAAACCCTACTCAGTTTGGTTGTCAGTGTTTCAAGTGCATTCTTCGTTGATCGAGTCGGACGACGACCTCTATTCCTGTTTTCTACAGTTGGTATGTGCCGGGATTGCCCGGGATGAATTTGCCGACTTACTAACTTTCTCCTCTCAGGCATGGTTCTCATGTTCCTTGCATGGACTGTAGTCTCCTCTGTCTTCGAAAGAACCGGCGATGTCAAGACTACCGGCTACCCACAAGTCGTCTTCGTCTGGCTCTTCTCTGTGTTCTACGCCATCGCCTGGTCAGGTCTGCTCGTCGCCTACTCGCTCGAGATCTTGCCCTACCGTCTGCGCGCCAAGGGTGTTATGATTATGAACCTGACGGTGCAGGCATCTCTGGTTCTCGGAAAGTAAGTTGCTCTACATATAGATATCTGCTCTTTGGACGAAACTGACCATCCTAGTTACACCAACCCAATTGCGTGGGAGAACCTTCCTCACCACTGGAACTTATCAATGATCTACACGATCTGGATCTTCATCGAGCTCTGCTTCGTTTACTTCTTCTACGTTGAGACCAGGGGTCCCACTCTCGAGGAGCTGGCTAAGATCTTCGATGGTGATGATGCCCAAGTGGCGCATGTTGATCTTCAGCAGGTTGAGAAGGAGATTCAAATTACCGAGAAGGCGTCGCCTGAGCATAGGGAACGTGCTTGATTGTGTGTGGTTGTGAAAAGATATCCATGGGGCATACTTTGGTGCCGATTGTAGTCAGACAATACTATAATTTCTTGTTACTGATGAATTTAATTGACAATGATTTACTTGATTGCTCCTTGATTTCTGCAGGCAGATAAGAAGGTTGTACATGGTACGGTGCTCCTCCTGCAACCATTACTTTCCTGCCCTGCGTCGCCAAAAACCCGGGCTGTTAGCTATCTCGAATCCCTCCTTCTCCACGTGCATTACTTTAACCCTTTAATGAACTATCCACAAAGCTGCAAGCGGTTCGTCATGGTCGACGAAAAATCCAATATCCACTCCGCAAACGAACCTAGTCTAATTTTCAGTGCTATGACGGCGGCATTCGGGACGGCTTCGGCTTCGGTTTCTGAAAGTTGAGAGATACGGTTGGGCCTGGGTCTTCGCATGGTACCGTGCTCCCGCCCAGCTTCCTCCGTTGCAACCTGTATAATGTCCCTATCACGAACTCCACGAACGGCCATTCTTTGGCCTTAGAGCCGTTTAACAGTGGAGAAAGCCCCTAGCCGCCTAGCACTGGTGCCTAGGATATCATCAATAGAATCGCCTGTGTCGAGGAGTTGTAGGTATCGCAGCTATCCTATCGTGGTAGCAAGAAGTTCACTGGCTGTGTTCAAGACTTGGTTGGTAAAGCCAAACTGGTGGCACGTGCTATAAAGACCCTCTATACTGGATATTCGGGGCGAGTGTAACCTGAGCATGGGATATTGGACATGGGAGGCGTCCGAGGCCGATGTAACCCATTCTGCTGGGATTGTGTGGATTGTGTGGGTTACGTTGGTTGTTTTACTTTTCAGCTTGGGCTGTTGAACAAGCTCATTCCAGTCATCTTCGTCGGCTCGGATATAGAAGTCGTCGATCTTTCCAGTTCGAAGAGTGTCCCACGCAGCTTCGCGTCTCGAATATAACGACAGTTGGTCTCTGTATGGCCACTTTGGTGGCACTGGGTGCAGTAGGTCTACGTCATATGTCAGTGTGTATCCTAACGGTGTATTAATACGTGCTAGGGGTAGGTAGCATCATGGTCATAGGAATTTCAGAACTGGGACGGGGAGAGAATCTGCACTTACGTTGTTTGGAAGGGGGTGAGCTCCGGCATCAGCCATTGTAACAGCGCTGCACGAGAGGAGGAATAAAAAAGAGGCCGGACGAAATGAGGTTACTCTTCAATCGAAGAAAAAAGGGATGTTGATGAGGAGAGGTTACTTCTCTGGGGAGCCGGCTATTGGCAGCGTCCCGGGAGGCCATATTCATTGCCGATATGGACAATTCAGGATCTGTTAAGTGCCGACCTGGCCTATGAGGGGGCCCAGTGCTGCTGGTTGGGCCCTGTACATTGTAGGCTGCCTCAACTTGACTTTTGAAGTATGCCATGGGCTCATAGTGCCGGCATATTCCCAGTTGTGGACTTCGAGCTGAGATCAAGACCTTCGTTTGGTAGGTAGACGGAACCTAGGCAGGGAAAGCAACATTGCGTTTCGCTAGACATCCACGTTAGGACATATCAATGATAAGTATGACGATTTGCTCGGATTGGTTTTCTGCGTCTACCTGGTAACTCAAGAGCCTTACCGATTCCGCATGCTCTTCGGTTTCCTTGTTTCTGCTGACAGGCCTGCGTCCATACATCAAACTTGTTGATCACTTTCTTGTCAAGCGAAAACTGGTTGATCAACCGTTGTGAGATTCTTCAAAGTTATTCTGGACCTCCTGGGGAAGGGTATAGGCAAATTCTAGGGCAGGTCCTCGGAATCCTGACATCAGGGTCATCCTTCATGTTGGACGTCCCAATCCATGCGCACTTGCACTGTTTCACATAGTGCTTCACATTCTCTCCGGGTCTTCCGGAGAAGTGGTAGGGTCTCTCATGGGGAGAGAAGTCAGGATCAATGATCTCGGGTTGGGGTTACCCAAGATGCATTGAATACACTTGTCACATTTGCAATATATCTGAAGCGGTCCTTCTGCTGCCGCTGGATTCTGTTTCGACGACCTGGGTAATCTCAAGCTGTGATCTCTAATTAGCTCTAGCACTCGTATCTTTCAATGAGCTTTCACTTACCATGAATGCCTTGACGAGAATTAAGATGACATGGACATTCTTCATTTTTGGACGATTGGTTGTGTTGTGAGAGGAAGGTAAGATGAAGCAAAAAAGAATGAAAGACGGACAATACTCGGCAAACGGAGAGGACCTGTTCCTTCCCTTTATTCAACTCAACATTTTCACTTTCACTTTCACTTCACCTTCATCTCCCACTCTTGAATATTCTCAAAGCCTCACGGCTGTCACTTGATCCAACATCGACTCCATACCATTTAAACCCCTTGCACCTCTCGACGTCTCTATGTCCCCAACCACCGTCGCGAAAGCCATCAAGCTTTCCTTCAACGTTCAGCAGGATATTAGCAAAGGACGCCGTGACTCATATCCCCATGATGCTTCAGTCAGCACGAATGGGTCATATCCTGCATTTGATCCCAGCCGAGAAGCACAGCTCAGGAGTGCTGCGGATCGCGCCAAGCCATACCGGGATAGACTGGAACGAGCCGATCAGCATGGTAGCAGGAACAGGCTTGCAGTAAAAGTACTCGCCCCCTGATCCAACCCGCGGATCTTCCTAAATCCCGAGAAGTGCCAAGGGTTCCATTATGAGCTCCAATCACTATCCTGGAGAGATGGATGTCCCCCCCGGAGTCAATGACCTGATGGGGTTCGACGAAGCGCCTGCGGTGCCATCTCTGAAGTTCAATCCCTCTTTTCGGGAGATGGATGTCTTGCCTGGAACAAACGACCTAATGATGGTCCAAGAATCGTCTGCGGTGCCATCTATAAAGCCCAAGATGGTTTTCTTGCCGGAGTCAATGACCTGATAAGGGTCGAATCGCTTGCGGTTCCATTTATGGGATTCAATCAATATCCTCGGGAGATCGTTGGCCCGGAATCAATGACCTGATGAGCTTTGACTAGTCGCTTTCGATGACAGAGATAGTTGGCTACGTTCTTTATAATATGCGGACTAAATAATAAAACCCGGAATAACATTTTTAGTCAAAGTCCCACCCAAAAAGCTCAACCTAACCTAGATTACGATAATCTTACAAGCTTAGATCCGTACCTAGGTAAGGAGTATAGTCAACTCCTAATTGCTACGCACCTTGGAAGTATGATTATTGACCTGTGTCAATCAGCAAATCAGCCAATCGTAGAATCTCTCGGAGCGGTCTCGAAGAAGAACGGGACAATTACTATATGTCGTAGAGGCTTCTTTTCCCCCTATAACGCACATCAGATGAACGGACTGGCTATCGTCGCGGTGATCGCAACTGAGAGGCCATTCATAAATACATATAGTGTCAACTGGTGGCAAACGCAAGTCTCGCCAGACCTAGCCATTTTACCATCGGCTAATTGAACTATATTATCAACCACTTCTGTTAGGTTATTAGCGACATATACCCATCACTATTATTACCAGTCTTATGACTTGAGCACAACTTGTATATCCGATCAATTTGAACGAGTTATAATATTATTACTTCTGTCAAAGGATAAATTTCCTGACTTCCTAGACATAAATGCTAGTAAATCACGCAGGAAACTTATTGTTAACAACAAACAGACAATTCTCAACTACCTCCCATCCCCATCCCCAGGGATATATCACACCCAGCTCCACCTCACAGCTTACCCTGACCAGCATTAGCATTAACGCTAGCAACAACAGAGGTGTAAGCGGAAGCAGAGGCAATGTTCTTTCCACCAAAGTTAGTCAGGAAAGCAGTATCAGCCTGAGACAACGCCCCAGAAGATCCATATCCATTAAGCTGGCAAGCACGTCCAATATAGTTCGAGCAGACAGCATTGGTGTTGGAATCCGGCGAGGAGAACAACTGTCCAGCAATGGGAGACTCGGCAGCAGCAACAATGTTCTGGAACACGTTACCCTCAGCGAGAACGTAACCACCCTGGCCGATCTCGAACGCGTGGCCGGAGTTCTGGTACCAGTAGTTGTTGACCTGGTGCGTGTGTTAGTGACTGTATTTATATCATATTTCCAAAGAGACTTGATCCCAGCGATCGACTTACAGCGTGCAGAAGGGTGTTACCCTGGACCTTAGGGGCGCGTCCGCTGGTGTGGTAGATGTAGTTGCCCTTCATGGTGACGAGATCGCTGGAGCCGTCGAGGTAGATGCCCCAGTAGTGGTAGCCGTCGCAGGTGGCGGAGTAGTCGCTGGTACCGTCGATGAAGTTGTTTGAGATGGTGACGCGCTTGGAGGCCTTGGTGCCGAGGACGATGTGTTGGCGGCCAATGCGGGCGGTTGTGACATGGTCGATCCAGACCATGTCGGCGTCGTTCACGGTGATGGCGTCGCCGCCCCAGACGTACTTGGGGTTGATGTCGGTGATGGCGACGTTTCTGGGTTGGTGGTTAGTTTTGGGATTTGGGATGTTTTGTATGGTATTTGGAGGTCTGTCTCTTACTGGATGATGACGTTGCTCGCACCGCTGACGATTCGGAGACCCTTGCCCTTGATGACACCGGCGCTGCCGCTGCCGACGATGGACTTGTTGGACTTGACGGTTATGCCGAGGGAACCGGCCTTGTCACTGGAGCGGTCAATAAGTATGCATTCCAAAAGGGGATTCATTGTCATCATGGGGGTCGAGGTTGTTCGTACTAGCTGACAGAGACGGTGGGCGCGTTCGGCTGGTAGTTGGTGCACCAGTCGTTCTGATTGATGGCAACCTGGCAACCAGAGCCAGTGCCCCAAGGGGCGCAGCCGGTGCCGCTTCCAGTTCCCTCTGTGCCCCGGAAGTCGAAGGTCTTGGTGAGGACAATCACGCGCGGCGAAGAGTCACCCAGGTACGAGACCAGCTCGTCTGTGGTGCTGGGGTAGACAGGGGTGGCAGAGCCACCGCCAGTGACGCCCTTGGCAAAACCCTCTGCTGCCCCGGAGACACCGACGGCAGCGGCTCGCATAGCGAGTGCTGCAAAGATGGCTGTAATCTTCATGGCTGGAGCTGATAGTTGTACCTAGGCTTTTGAAGATTGGAGTGGTTTGGATGAAGAGCTGAAGAAGACATGTCGGGCGTGGTGGACGTCTTATATAGGAAGAAGTATAAGCACTCGGTCCAATGTAGATAGCTCTCCGAGCTAAGACAAGGATGTTTGAGAATTGAGTCTCCGCACCCGGGTAATCTCCGTAATGGAGAAGCCGACGTTCAACCGGCAAATAACCACCGAAGCCCCAGGCCTTTCAACACACGTGGGACCCAGGTCTGGTCGCATAATAGGTTTTCCCATAATCCACAATTTTGCGGAGAAAGCATCCATTGCTATGCAGGGGTATGGAGTAGATTTTGTGAAGAATCCGGAAGAATTGCAGACTCGTGCGACGGGGACGATAGATACACCAATAGGCTGGCTGTGGGATAGTTCGTATATAACGCCCTCCGTGGCCGAACGGTATGCAGAAACAATTCCAGGAATTAAAGAACAGTGATCTGGTGCCACAATTTCGCCACAATTTCGCAAATCAGGCCAGCCCTAGAGGATAGGAACCGGTGCGTGAAGATGTTTCACCTTTAGGGTGTTCCCCACATCTTTAACTGAATGGAGTCGGCATGTCAGCTTTGTCGTCGGACTTTTACTCGGATGAGTATGGTCTCCGGGGCCCAGTCTGATAAGTCTCCTTTTCCACAGGTCCGGAAATAAGGTCTGTGTTGGTTATTCTGATTTCTCCTGCTCCGTAATAACCAAGGGGGTCAAAGTGTGAAGTTGGACGAAAATTTCTCCGTCTTGGCGAACGTGGTGATTTACCTCTGTCGATCTTCGGAGAGCTGGTTCCAAAGTTATTATTGCAGCAATGATATTCATACTCTAAATTCATTAAGATGTGAAGATCAGCTCATGCCCATGACAGTGTTACCCACCAGAGCTGCCAGAGGAGATCCACTGAGTTCTTTCGAAATAATTTCAGGGGTTCCCAACCTTGGAACATTTGAAGTTAATAATCATACTAACTAATTGGCGTGTTTCATCTAAAAGGTCATGGAAACAAACAGAAAGGGATGAGAATCTCTAAATAAATTCTATCCATTAATAATGTGTAGTCTATACAATGATGTGTGGTATACAAGAAACAAGAAATGATCTATAACCATTTCGAAAAATGAACTCACATCTCTCCTAAAAGGCGACAGGCAGGGGGCGCTCCAGGTAGCCACGCCACTGAGGGAGTGCACGGTCGCCCTTGGCGCCTTGGTTCTTCTTCAGATCCTCGATGGCACTGGCGTACTTGACCAAGGTGGCCTCGGAGAAAGCAGTGTTCATAATAGCAAGACCAAAGGGCATGCCCGAGGCATCATTGACACCAGCAGGCAGAGTAATGACAGGGTATCCAGCCTGAGCAGCGATTTCAATGCTCTGAGCGACATCGGGGGGCACAAGGAGACCGTCGAGAGTCACGTTGCCCTGCTTCAGAGCAGCATCGATACCCTCCTCGCGGGTGGTGCGCTGGCAGAACTCCAAAGCCTGGAAGTAGGTCTCGTCCATGACACCCTTGGTCTCGAGGGAAGCGAGAAGGCCGTCCTGGCCAGAGCCGAAGGCAGGGTGGATACCGGGCAGACCACCCTCAGAGCCATAGTTATCGATGTTGTACTGGACAAGGTCCTCAACGGAGCGAATGTTAGTGTTCTCGACCTCGGACAGGTAGTCGCGCAGGTTGTTGTAGAAGTCAACCTTGATGTAGGAGTACGAAGACTCGTTAGAGTAGCCGCGGGTGGTGCCGTAGTCCCAGTTCCAGCCATCGGGTGAGACAATCTTCTTATAATGGGGCAGCTCGGTGCCGTTGATGATGGTTGCGCCGGCAGACTCGATCAGCTCAACCAGGTCAAGGAGCTGGGCGATTTGGTCGGCATCGCCAAGGGCCCAGAAGGACTCCCAGGGGATACCGAAGACGGCGCCCTTAAGAGCGGTCTGGTTGGTCAGGAACTGGGCGTAACCACCGACCGGGGTGAGACCCTCCTGGGCGGAGGTGTAGTTATCACGGGAGTCAATGCCGTAGATGGCATCGAGGGCATAGACGGCATCACGGACGGTCTTACCGAAGGTACCGACGGTATCCTGGTGGGCCGACTCCGGGATGACACCGGCACGGGAGGTCAGACCAACAGTGGGCTTGATGCCAACGACGGAGTTGCGCTGAGCGGGGTTGATGACACTACCGTCTGTCTCGGTTCCAAGAGCAATCGGCACAAGGTTGGCGCCGACAGCAACACCAGAGCCAGTGCTGCTACCACCGGGGTTAACGGTGAAGTTGTAAGCACTGCGGCACTGGCCCCCACGGGCGCTGAAGCCTTCGGAGTAGTTGTTGGAGCGCATGTCGGCCCACTCGCTCAGAGCAGCCTTGCCAAGAAGCAGAGCACCAGCCTTGCGCATTCCGTGGACAACATAAGAATCACGGGCACGACGTTGCCGAGCAGAGCCCAGCTGCCTGCAGTAGTCTCCATACGATCCTTGCTGGCGATGTTGTCCTTGACAATGAAGGGGATACCGTGGAGAGGACCACGGACAGTGCCTTGGGCACGCTCATCATCAAGCATCTTGGCAATGGAGAAAGCATCCGGGTTCACTTGTAGAATAGCACTAGCAGGGATGTTAGTCAACGGTTCTATGACAGGGGTTCAACATAACATACTTCAAGTAAGGTTGGGTCTGGTGGACACGGTCCATGTAGCACTCCAACAACTGGACGCCGGTAAAAGTGCCAATTTCCAGCTCGGCCTGAATCTGATCGATAGTAGCCTCCTCCAACTTGAAGCCGTGACAGGGGCGCATAGCGAACTGTGCAGCGCCATCACCGCCCAGGCGAGGGAAGTCATATTTGTAGGGATCGGTGAGGATCTGGGAGTCGACCAAGCAATCGGACTGGGCAACAACGGAGCTCACCAAGGCGAGACCGCTCACCAATGTCTGAATTAAAGGTGCCATGACGGAAATTAGATTAAACCCCCAAAAACCATGTGGCAGAAACGCTAATATTTTGGGGGAGTTCGCGTTGTTATACTCCCAAGATAACCGTGGATCCCTCTGGGGCTAACGCGTGACTAATAATAAACCCGCCCGAGCATTCTCAGGGCATTTGCTGTATTTTACACTTTTGGCTCCGTTTTTTTCAGTTCTATCTGCTTTAGACAGCTTCTCGATTCGATCAAATCTCATTCCACGATCTCAAACCATTGGAATTGGTGGCGTTTTCCAGCTGAAAAACTTCGTGGGAAATGTTCGAATCGACTTGAATGGCCTGTTAATCTATCTTCGGCATTGATTAATCTATATTCTAGTACTAAACACTTCGGTAGTGAGCCATAGAACCGAGACGACCTGCCTAAAACTGCAACATTTTAACTGCCCAGGTGGATCCGAAGAATCTACCGACCCCATCGGATGTCATCGGAACCAACTTGCGCTCCGTTCGATCGATACCCACAGTAAATGTCTTTTGATTGGCTGCCTTATACGAAGGCTCCTTTCCAAGGTTGTGCCAAAGACTCTGCGACTACCAAGCTCGGGTTAGCTCGGGTTAGCTCGGGTTAGCTCGGGTTAGCTTGGCCATTGGTAGATTTTGATAAATGGATGGTATGATAACGGGGCTTAAATCTCAGGATATCCAGAAAACTGTGTGTCCAGTCGCGTGTTAAGCGATCTTTCGCGGAATAAGTAGATCGGATTGGCTGCAGACATGGGGCGCTTAATTTTTAATTTCTTTTTTTTTTTTTGGTCTATATTCTGACAGGTGACGGCTATCTACCAATATGTTTTGTGGTACTCCGTAGGAGTATTCCATCCCAACTTCAGCTTTGGAAACCAGTATAAAACTCTATTAATCACCGGAAGCTTTAATGTAACCTTGGAGACAAAGTGAATCCTTGGGACTTACTCCATAAGCTTCAATTGCGCCCTGAGTCCGTGAGTCCGGAGGTTTATATACTTGGTACAGAGCTCCCGTTGGTCGCTGACACCGTGATCCATTTGAATAGATTGACAGGCCCGGTTCCACTTTCCTTAAGAGAATTATATGGATTAGTATACGAATTATACCATTTTTGCCATCGAGTGGTCCCTTGGGATAATATACTATACCTCATCCCACTGATATCGTTTGCCTTCCTGGATCTGATGTGCAATGGCTCCTTGATCTATTTCTCTTATATATCTTTTCTTTTCTAAACATGTCACTCGTTTGAAATCAATGACTATTCCCGACGATATCCTTGCTGCAGACGCAGCAGGGAGAATCCCTAGCGGAGTCTCGCTCGAATACCTAGCAGAGTCCCGCGATAAGTCCGCCATTGTGGGAATCATTTTCATGATATGTTTCACGGGTCTATTGATGATTTTACGTCTATATGCCCGGGCATTCATTGTGAAGAAGATTGGTCTAGACGATGCATTGGCCGTCTTGACATTGGTAAGATCATCCTTCATCCACTTTAGATCTGCACTCAACGTGCACTGCAATCGAGCCGCTATCCACGGCAGAATTAGCTATAGTTACAAAATATATTCGGCAACTAACAATGGCTCCCATCGCAGATGCTCTACATTGCCTTTGTGGTCCTCTCCATCATCCTGATCAACCTGGGAAGTGGTCGCCACATCGAATACATCCAATATGTGCTACCACTTCCCACAGTCCGCGACACCGAAGTCCTAGACTTTGTCGCCCACATTATCTACACAACAGCTCTATTCCTATGCCGTCTCTCTGGTCTAGCCTTCTACTTCCGGCTCTCAGCGCGCTCAACAAAACTCCACATGAGCATCATCATCGCCGCCCCGCTCCTTCTCGCCGCCTACTTGCCCCAACTCTTCCTCCTGATCTTCCACTGTAAGCCGGTAACAGGGCTCTGGCCCTACGAGTGGCAGGTCGAGCCGAAGACATACAAATGTTACACATGGGGACTCGTGTACTCGGTGAACTCAGGTCTATCTCTCGCATGCGACATGCTGATGTTCGTCATTCCGGCGGCACTCATCAAGGGACTGCACGTCTCCTTAGAAAAGAAGATCAAGTTATCTTTTGTGATGTTCCCCGGTGTCCTGTGAGTAACTTCCCACTCCCAAAGTCTCACAAGTCCCACAAAACTAACACCACATAGCGTGATCGTGATCTCCGCAATCCGCGTCTGGCTCGTAGCAGTGGGCCAATGGAACTCCGACGGCAGCTGGGCCTACAATCCCATGATGTGCGTCGAGAGTGCCGAGATCGCTGCAACACTAGTCGCGCTCTCGGTGCCAGCGCTGAAACCCGTCTTCGGAAACCTCTTCACACACCTGACCGAGTACACCTCCAGCCACACGCGCTCGCGCTCGACTAAATTGCAAAGCCTCGGCCATTCCAAGACTATTGGCAGTGCTGCGGTCTCCAGCAATCGGGATAGCAAGCGTCTCCTTAATTGGTCTAAGATTGGGAAGGATGATTATGAGATGATGCCTTCCGAGGTCTCGGTTTCGAGGGATGTTCGAGGTGGGTCGAGGGGAGTGATCATAGTGGTGAGGAAGAGAACAATAGGCATGGCTCTCAGAGTCCTGGGATTCGGGTTACGAATGAGGTTAATATTAGTCGGGGAAAGGAGGGGGATGTTGGGGTTGAGAAGCCCGGGTCTAGGGAGAGTTAGAGGTGTTTTTCTTATCTGTTATAATAGACATATACTAGACTATACTTATATCATGTTCAAGATCTATCTAAATATGTCCTACGGCTCTCCATTTATAGCGCCGACTGTTTCGTGAGAACTCGCTTCTATATCAACGGATAGTATAGAACGGCTGTATCAAACCTCATCGTCCAAACCTTTGCCGCTGCGGCTTTCAGAGTGTTAGACATGAAACTAATAGCTGAGGTATTATACCAAAAGCTCAGGATTTCCTTGGTTGAAAATAGACATCGGTATTTCGATGTTTGAGAATGAAACTCGCGATGACTCGCTCGCCGCTGTCCAACTGCTAAGCGCTACTTTGGGAATGTTTCAATATCATCAATCTGATATAGACAATAGAACAACAGAATCTGGGGCTACGCATAAATAGAGTGTTCTGTCTCAACAATTAGGCATACCATCTTCAATCTCATCTATTCTCATCTGACCTAATTTCAAGCTATCAAACTCCTCGACTTCAATATCTACTATCTACCTTATTGCCGATACCATGGCTTCAAGAGCCGATCTCACCTGTCATCAAGCTACTAGCTCTCAAATCAGACCTCCATTCAACCCCACACGCCAGCAGCTCAATAACCTCAAAATACCTATAGCTGAACTCCTGTCCTACCATGGGAAAAGACACCCCCACTTTCCAAAAACCATCGCAGAGTATTACATGCTCGACGGGATGACGCTCGACGATCTGCTCAGGTTTTTTCATCAAACCTATCCCGAAACCACAGAAACCACCAGCGAACGCTATCCCTCGACGATCCGTTCATGGCTCAGGAGCAACAGGCCGCAGTGGTATCTAGTCGATGTTGAAACGAAGCGCTGCCTGTTCGGCACGTTCATTGGGTTAACCAATGAGCTCGTGGATCCCAACATTCATCCGCTATCTTACCGGCTGGTGCATCACAACCCGGCGATGAACCCGGAAAACCCCAACCCCGCCTCTGTCGAGGCCCCATCCGGTGCAGAGGCTGTGCAAAGGCCAGAGAAAAGACGTGAGAAACGAAAGGGGCTGTTCAAGTGGTTTCTGCCTCGTAAATAAGCGGTCTGGTTAATTTCTTTTTTTGGGGGGGGGGGTTGGGTTGGAGGCGTTTAATAGCGCGGCGCTTAGTTGGTTTTGGTGAGACATCGAACGGTTTCACTTTCCTTGAGTTGGATCATTACGTATTTGGTGCTTGTATCGAGTTATTGCGGAGGTTCTCCATATGTGGATATATAATTGCAGTACTCCGTACAACATACTCCGTATGTTCCAGAAGGAAGAATGCTGGATGAAGTCCCCTTGCTCGGTCTTCGCGTCCCCTGCATGTGGAGGATCATAAACCCCAATTTAGAAAGATAATTGCTCAACGATCCTACAGTCCAAGATGGCCTTTGATGTTGTCAGGTCAACTTCACACTTCGATATAAAACCAGCTTCGGCTTCGGACTAAGCAAAAAGCGAGGCATCGGTTGTTGCTATGATTCCTAGCAAAGATTACCCCTGAGTGCAACGTTGTCATTTCCCAAGATGCATGAAGCCATACCCTTTCGGGTGATGTTCAAAGAACTCCGAAATTCCAAGGTTGATTATCAATTATAGTGCTTACTAACCTCGATCGTCCACCTGCTGGGCACGGGTGGATCGAGATGCTTCTAAGAAGCTATTGGCGATCAACGAATTGTCATATGATGAACCCATTTGATCCTTAAAAAGAATAAGAACATCCGCTGCTCCAGTGAACGAAATACTTACTCTATACACCATATTGGCTTGACCCAGTGATCCTTTGCCAAAATCGATCATAATTCCTACGATTCTCCAAAATGACCCTCAAATACCTCATTACAGGAGCGACTGGAGGCCTCGGTGCCGGAGTCCTATCCTACCTCACTGCGAATGTCCCAGCATCAGAGTATGCTGCAGCATCCTCCAAAGAGGAAAATCGTAAACAATTCGAAGACCGAGGGATCGAATTCCGAGTCGCGAGCTACGACGACCCCAAGACATTAGAGACCGCGTTCGAAGACGTGGAGAACCTCTTCTTCGTCAGCACCAGCACCTTCGACAACGAGAAGCGGCGCAAGCAACACGAAAACTTTGTAGAGGCAGCGAAGAAGATGAACGTGAAACATGCAAGTCATCAAACTCCCCGCACAACCACTTTCGCTAACATCAAACCCGCAGGTGTGGTATACATCTCTCGCATTCGGCGGATATGGTTCCGACTCCAAGGCAGCTGTCCAACAAAGCCATCTGATGACAGAGGAAATGATGAAACAGTAAGCCGAGCCCCGACCGACAATCCATGCAATCTTACTAACACCAGCCAGGGCCGGCATCAACTTCACATCCATCCGTGAGGGCCTGTATACAGACGCCTTCCCGGTCTTCATGGGCTGGTATCCAAGCACATCGACCGTCTACCTCCCCTCGGACGGGCCGATTGCCTTTACACTGCGGTCGGAGCTAGGCGAGGCCAATGCGCGACTGATGATTCAGGGAGGACATGACCGAGAGATCGTGCTTCTCACCGCGCAAGAGACTATCACATTCTCTGAGATTGTGGATTTGATCAACGAGACGACTGGCCGAAATGTTCAGTTAAAGCTTGTCTCGCCGGAGGAGTTTGTGCGGTTGAAAGCGGCCGACGATGAGGGCGGGAAGCCGAAAGGGTTCTTCCAGGCGCTGTTGTCGTGGTACGAGAGCATTTCAAAGGGCGAGACGTGCACGATTGATCCGCTCATGGCGGAGGTGCTGGACCGTCAACCCGTGCCGCCACGTGAGGCTATTCGGGCGTTTTTGACGGAAAATCGGGACTATGAGTGGCATCAAAACTATGTTAATCGCGGTTAGCTGCAGAGTTGTTAGCAGCTGACTGTAATGATCGCATATATTAAAATCGAAATGTGACAATGCGGCAGTTTCCAATGGTTGGCATGTGAGTCGGCCGGAGTAGCCGTTATCCAGTCTCGGCAAGCAGATCGGGAGTGGCCTTGGAGCCTGAGGCACTTAGTTTTGTGGGTTTTGACGAAATCATTGATCATGGAGGGTTGGAGTAGATAAGATGGGAAGATTGATATAATTTATCAATCACATCACACTCGTACTTCCAATTGACCAGTATTTAACACATATATGACCCTGTCGGAGTGTATTATCGGCAGTAGACAATTCCCCAATCCTCCAAGTTGACGCCGTGTCCGCCCGAGGCTTGTAAACACCTTCGCTCTGATTGGCTACGGCCCGCTGATGTCAGCATCTACACACCCGACCCGTCAAACCCGAGGTTACTAGCGAAGAGACTCCTTGGACTTCATTTCGTCGAGGATCTTTGTTGGTTTGTGAAACTCGACTTCGTTGTCGCTATCTTCACACTTTTGAAAAACTCTCCTCTCTTATTTCCCGTCTCTCTGCTATCAATCCTCATCCCCTCCACCCTCATCCACCCTCTCTTTCCTTTTCACCTCGGTGTTTTTCACATTTCCGATCACCCGTCATGGCCTCCCTCCGTACCACTTCGCGATTGTTCGCGGCATCCCGGCCGATGTTCCGCCCTGTCTTCGCTCGCACCTACGCGACTGTTGAGCCTACTCCCTCCGAGCAGCCCAAGATGAAGACCTTCAAGGTCTACCGTTGGAACCCGGACCAGCCCAGCGAGAAGCCCCAGATGCAGTCCTACGACCTCGACCTGAACAAGACCGGACCCATGATGCTCGATGCGCTCATCCGGATAAAGAACGAACTCGACCCTACCCTGACTTTCCGGAGATCTTGCCGTGAAGGTATCTGCGGTTCTTGCGCCATGAACATTGACGGTGTTAACACTCTCGCCTGCTTGTGTATGTACCCGGACCCGCACATACGCAATGTCGAAGCATCCACCAGCTCGTACTGAAAGCTAATCCTTTGTCTGTATAGGCCGCATCCCCACCGATACCAAGACCGAATCGCGCATCTACCCTTTGCCTCACACCTACGTCGTCAAGGACCTTGTCCCTGATATGACCCACTTCTACAAGCAATACAAGTCCATCAAGCCATATCTCCAGCGCGACACCCCTACCGAAGACGTGAGTATCTTATATGCCACAGCATCGCCTACCAAAATCTAACAATTGTCAGGGTCTCGAATTCCGTCAGTCCCCCGAGGATCGCAAGAAGCTCGACGGTCTCTACGAGTGCATTCTGTGCGCCTGCTGCTCAACCTCCTGCCCCTCTTACTGGTGGAACAGCGAGGAGTACCTTGGACCCGCCGTCCTGCTCCAGTCCTTCCGTTGGTTGGCCGATTCCCGTGACGAGAAGACCGCCGAGCGCAAGGCCGCTCTCGACAACAGCATGAGCGTTTACCGTTGCCACACTATTCTCAACTGCACACGGACTTGCCCCAAGGGCCTGAACCCAGGTCGTGCGATTGCCGAGATCAAGAAGATGTTGGCTGTCTAGAGTTGTGGATATAAAACGGAGTACCGCGGAATTTTCTTTTCTGTCCAATGCTTTTCCAGTCGCCTTTCCAGTCGCCTTTCCTCTGTTTCAGTATTCCCTATTTTCTTTTACTTTTTTTTTTTTTGCCCGACTATGTCACGGATGTTTCTATAGGTGTAAATTGTGGACATTTGTTTCTTTCAGGAATGCACTGGTAGTCCATTCGGCTGCATGATGATAGCGCAACCTATACCTTGTATTGTATTAATCTACCAATCTAGATGTCTGCTATTTCCTTATAAATCCATGTATATCTGCAATTTATAGTGTTCAACACCATAATACTTTCCTGGCAGATGTTAAGCGAATCCGAATACACTTATCCGGTATGGGCTAGGCTTATTCGGCTATATGTTCTGCCCACACTAACGCTACCACGCTAAAAAGGCCACCTGGACATTGCCTCCACAAATCGTAATAGGGAAATAAGCGATTACTCAACTGGGCTGTTAGCACAGTTGGTAGTGCGCCCGCTTCGCATTACTGCGAGCGTGCGGGAGGTCCTGGTTTCGATTACCAGATAGTCCATTTTCGTCTTACGTTTTTTTGGCTCAGTCTCCTACTCTTTTCGTAGCTTTATTTGCTTTGTCCTCTTGCTGGCTGCAACTGGAAGCGGGCTATGAAATCCAACTCACTACCAGGATTGCCATTGGCCACTCGAATGGCGGACTCACGCGGGGGGGGTATATCAGCCCAGTTATCGGCCATGCAGTTCTACCTCGTCATCCGTAGATCACATCACATCCTTTCAAATCAGGGGGTCACCCATTGTTCCCGGTTTATGGACAAGGAGGATTGTGCCCGAGCCGACCCTTAGCGTTCGTTGCGCCTGCAGCTAGCTGCGCGGTGGGCGAAATCAGATAGTGCTCGGCGAATAGCAGCTTTACATTGCACCTTAGCGGCCCCTCCGGGCGTCATAGGATCCAAATATGGTTGCATTGTCTAATTAAGCGTGTTGAATCAGGAAAGAGATGATTTCGCGCTAACTACAACATACCTAGGTATGCGCTGTGCATTATGCGCTATGCACTACCGACCTCGTGGGTCATCCTCTCTTTTTCGACGAACCTATGTCCTCGCCCCTCCTATATAATGTATTGCTTTCGCTCATTTTCTTCGGGATCAGTGAACCGTGAACCGGTTTGTCTATAATGGATTCCTTGACACTATTCGTGTCCGTGCTGGCGTTGCCGTTGGGACTGCTGGTCTTGCGCACGGTGTACCATCTGTACTTCCATCCGCTGTCCAAGTTCCCCGGTCCAAAACTCGCTGCTGCAACCTTTTTCTACGAGTTTTATTATGATGTTGTCAAAAGCGGCATGTACATCTGGGAGATTGAGCGCATGCACGAGAAATATGGTGAGTATATAGATCCGATGTCAACATCCATCCAAACTAGCAAAAACCACACCAAAATAATGCCGAAATGCACAACTCCCTAATATTTCATCCAGGCCCAATCGTACGCATCAATCCACGAGAAATCCACATCAGAGACTCATCCTACTACGACGAAATTCATGCCGGCGCATCGCGCAAACGCTCCAAAGACCCCAAATACGCCATAGCCTTCGGCGCGCCCAACTCCCTCGTAGGAACAATAACCCACGACCACCACCGCTTCCGTCGCAGCCTGCTGAGCAACTACTTCTCCAAGCGCTCGGTGGTAGACCTTGGTCCGTCGATTCATGAGAAAGTCGACAAGCTAATCGCGCGCTTCGAGCAAGCCCACCAAGCCGGCGATGTGCTGCACTTGCAACTGAGACTTCGCTGCGTTGACCGCCGATGTCATTACCGACTACTGTTACGGCTGGAGCTACGGCTACCTGGATGGCGAGAAGGGGTCGGTGAGCAACGACCTCGTCGACGCTGTCAACGGGCTGATGGTTATGATCCACATTAACCGGTTCTTCCCGTTCCTCATTTCCATTTTCAGGAATGCACCGCCTACCCTGCTGCGCTGGCTGCAGCCGAACATGGCGGATTTGTTTGATGTGAAGGCCAGGCTGAGACAGCAGGCGGATGATACTCTGCAGAAGCAAGGTCTGAAGAAGGTTGATTCTGAGGCGAGATCGACTATATTTGATGCGCTGACGAATTTGGAGTTGCCTGAGAACGAGAGGACGCTTGATCGGCTGGAGGATGAGTCTGCGCTGTTGCTTGGCGCTGGTACGGAGACTACGGCTCGGTCTATTACTGTCGCGATGTTTTATCTCATTCATAATAAGGAGATTATGGCGAAGCTGCGGGCGGAGCTGAAGACTGTGCTGCCGACTCCGCTGTCCAAGGCTTCTTGGGTGGATTTGGAGAAATTGCCATACTTGGTGGGTTATTGTTTCTGGGCCAAGGGCCTTGGTTTCTTCCCTTGTGCATTGCTGATTTTGTCATTCCCTAACTGAGACGGGTGTCGTCAATGAAGGCCTGCGTCTCAGCCACGGCATGACAGCCCGGCTGGCGCGTGTTTCACCGACCGAACCCATGCTCTACAAGGATTGGGTTATTCCTGCAGGGGTAAGTAATGATACTGGTTTCTGCCTACTGGCTGTAACCTTCCGGTTCGACTTGGGCGTGACACATAACGAACCTAAAGCCGGCTGGGCTTTGCAAAACGCGTTACTAATTATTGTGCGTTGCAGACTCCGGTTAGCCAGTCGAACTACTTCGTCCACATGGATCCCACGCTCTTCCCTGAGCCAGAGAAATTCGACCCGGAGCGTTGGATCCGCGCGGCAGAGAAGGGTGAGTATCTGAGTCGGTATATTGTCTCGTTTACCAAAGGGAGCAGACAATGTCTGGGGATGAAGTGAGTTGTGCCTATACATCGCCTTGCAAGATTTATTTACTTACTTTATCTAGCCTTGCCTATGCGGAGATATACCTATCTTTGGCACATATCGCTCGTCGCATCGACTTTGCGTTGTACGAGACTACTACTGATAATATCTGCGTTTATCGTGATATGGGAACTGGGTGTCCAGAGGTTGGTTTGTTTGGTGTGAGGGCTACGGTGGAGGGTCTTGTGGAGGAGTAAGGTTGTGTTACTGTAGGTTGTAGGATTCCTCTGTGATGATGATCATGATTATGATTATGATGATGTATGAGAGTTAAACTTGTACTTTTGTCATTATTAAGGTCTTTTGTGGTGCTTTTTAACGTGCGTGTTGGTTATGCAGGTAACCGTCTTGTGGGGTATGTTTCACTTCATCTGTACTCGAGATAGTCTATAGCTTGATGATGAAGGATATTCCATTCTGCTAAGATTTTGATATGTTTAATTCAATTTACTGGATTTATTTGCTAATCAATTCATTGGGTATGTCGAATCAATCCTTTGGAGATTCCTTATATATATCTGCGGACCAATGCGCCAATATCTAATGTTTACAAAGAATATATATATATGGACTTCTAATATTTGAATTCTAAATTTCCATCCAATAGATTGAAGAATATTAGTCTATTTACTCGTAATACGTACAGAGCCATACATACGGAGTACTTCATCTAACATGAGAAGGCTGCTATTGCGGTCGTTTTCAAAACTGACTCTAGATAACTATTGGCCCCCACCACCCCCAAGCAAAGACTTGTTGGACCGAATATAAATGAACTGAATAGTAGAAACTAGGTTCCAACCAGCCTCTGCCGGTATTAAGTGAACCATTGAGCGAGGGCTAGTATCAGGGTCATGCTCGATGCAACCCAACAGACACAATAATGTATACACTATCAAATTCAAAGACACAGACCAGACCTGACGCGATCCTGCGAATATGTGACAACAACGCAGAAATAAGAAACGTACATATAATCAGTCTCAATGTAAAGTAAGCTCGTACATATCATGGACTGATTGGCTGGTTCTGCAAGGGGTGAAGCTCGCTAGGGGTACCTCCTGCGTGCCAGAATACCCCCTACACATTCATCACCCTTTGGAGGAAGTTTTGATGGGGTCTGATCACTGTTTGTGTGTTGGGGCAGATATCTCCCCGAAGACATCTGCACTTTATCGTATACCTGGTATAGTACTAGTATACAAAGCAGTCTGTTCTTTCTAGGACCATCAGCCTAAGATAGAGCATTAAGCAACAGGAGTAATAGTCCAGCTAGGAAAGACATAAAACAGTCACACCTGTTGCTCTGGATTGTAAAATCTACGTATTTTTAACTCACACCCACGAGGGATCTGAAAGGAGCTTTTATGTGCGCCACCTTGTCACATTACCTCCGATATCATCCAACCGTTAAGTTTACACGCTTTCTCTACATGAAATGTTGATCGTTGGATTTAATGTCCACCATCTGACAAGCTTTCCTCTTTCCTGGGCAGGTCGCTAGACGATCATTCCGCAGGAACCCAGCATACGCGGCAATTGAAACCCTTTGCAACCCTCCGATAGGCATAGGCTCCCTGCTATGTGGTCGTCATCCCAGCGATGTTGATCTTCATCAATAAGAGCGCGAGGCATGGAAGACGGAAAACAGAATCACAACAGTTCATCCAGAGCCCTATATTGCCTACATAAACGCCATTATAACCCTCTCTCCGAACCCTAGCCAGTCCTTCATTTGCTTCTCTGACCATCTATACTCTCATTTATTCCACAAAATCCAGGCCACTTGACCAACAACATGCATGTTTCATACATCTCTCTGGCGTTCTTCGCCGTCGGTGCCATCGCCGCGCCCGCCGCTCCCAAGCCCGACGAGTTCGGCGACATCACTAGCGGCTTCCCTTTCAACACAGTCGGCTCTTCCAGCATCGAGGACAGCGATGAAGGATTCGACGACTCCTTCCCCTCCGCGCTCGACGCAATGCACCAGGCCTTGGCCCAGAAGCAGCAGTCCGCTCAGTCTGTTCAGTTCGCATCGACCTCCCACCCCCTGATGGCCAAGCCCACCAAAGCCCACCCAACCGCGAACTTCCCGGCTCCCATCGTCTCCCAGGCCCCAAGTCTCTCCCAGGCCGCCCCTGTCATCTCGCAGGCTCCTGTGATTTCCAAGGCTGAGCCTACCCACGCCCTCCCCACTACATCTCACGCGGTCATTCCCACTCCCGCGAAGAGCAGCTCTGCTTCTCCTTCCTCTAGCGCAACTCCTTCGCCTAGTGCCCCCGCTGGCCCTCTTAGTGGCCTTGTCGGAGGTCTCCCCCTTGTTGGAGGTTTCGTTGGCGGTCCCCTGGCTGGCCTCGGTCTCCGTCGTTAAAAGTAGTGTCTGATGTGATCTTGGTGTGGAGAGGAGTATTACCTTATGTATCAAATGTTGATGTTGGTCACTCTCGCTCCTTTTTGTACTTCCTTACCTCTGGCAATGGATTGGTGGCGCCTTTCTTTTTTTATTTCTCTGGCAATCATTCATATATCCAATGACTTTAATTTATAGAATCTTCTTCATACATTCTTGAATCTATGACATTATCACACAGAATTTCAGCACTTGAAACATCAAGCCACCCCGAAACCCCTAACTCGACGGGTATCTCCCCCAGACCCCAACCGATCAATGCATCCCTCAACAGCCTTCTGCATAGCATTGGTCGCCTCCTCCAACAGCGTCGTCAAAGGCACCTTCCCCGCCATCTCCGCCTGAACCCTCACATACTCATTATTCAACACCTTATTGATATTGATCTTGCTCACCCCACAATCAATACACTTCCTAAAGATCTCCTCGGTAAACGGATCCGCCCCATGAAGCACAAGCTTAACTTCCCTCCCAACAGCCTCATTAATCGACCGCAACCGCTCATACTCCAACTGAATCCCACGGGGCCCATACTCGCCATGAACATTCCCAAACGCAGGCGCAAGCCAATCAATCCCCGTATCCACAAACTCCTGACTCTCCTCCGGCGTCGTAAGCATCCCCTCAAGATCAGCCGTATCAGCAACACCATCCTCACCACCCTCAATCCGACCGGGCTCCGCCTCCGTCGCAATCCCCCGCGCATGGCAGTACTCCACCAGCTCGCGCGTCAGAGAAAGGTTCTCCGCCTTCTCGTAGTGCGACATGTCAACCATGATGCTGTCGAACCCGCCCAGGTCCGCCGCATATCGGATTATCTCGGGCGTTTGCGCGTGGTCCATGTGCACGGTTATCGGCACGGTGGCTTTGCGCGCGGCTGAGGCTGCTGCGTGCACGAGTAGCCCGTCGGCGTAGTGGATCGCCCATGGGAAGAGCTGGATCATTGCTGCGGAGCGCTTGGCTTCGGCGGCGCGGACGGTCGCCAGGATGCCTTCCAGGTTGTAGCAGCACATTGCGGGGATGGCGTAGTGGTTTGCGGAGGCATGGTCGAGGATGCGCAGGGCGCGGTTTTCTTGGAGGGTCATTTTTGGTTTGGGTGGGAGGGTGAGGGGCTGGGAATTGGGGGATTTTGTGGATTTGAGGGTTACTGTAGACTAGAGTCTGTTGTGTTATATAGTCTTGTCTTGTGCGAGTTCACGTCCGAGTGTCGGAGTTGCTCCGGGGCTACGTCACTTTGAGCTATCAGGCTCTTCTGTGCCTGTTGACATGGAAGACGCGGGAGAGTATACCGGAGGAGATCAAACCTTCAGTATATCCGGCCTATAGCCTCGGCAACTACATAGTATCTTCACTCCTCACTGCTTTGGGCAAGACTAACAACCTCGACGGGATTCGGTTACAGAGAGCAGGGTCTCTTATTAGGTTTCGTTTTAGCATTAAGCATAGAATGTTTCAATCAAATCAAATTCAAGAACTCTCTTATTTAGCCATTCAGAAAGTATAAAAGTGGTGTTTAGCCTGTGATAGTCGGCCAACCTCCGAACGTCTACCAAGTACCACATACAACAAGCACAAGAGACAACCAACCCCACGTTAACCGGAAACCAAGAAACCCCCCAATTCCAAAACCGGACCCTGGCGAAGCCATCGAATATCGGCAAAAAGAAGCCAAGGTAAACCCCTCGGACTTGCGCCGAACCATCCCGCGTTTCCCCAGACATCTTCCCCTCATAAAACCCCCACGCAAGTCGCGCAAGTTTATTTTATTTAATACATTAAATTTCTCCAGGGACTATCCTACCAATTGTATCCATCATTCATTTATCTGAACAACAATGTCCAAACCCTCAATCGGCTTCGTCGGCCTAGGCGCCATGGGCTTCGGCATGGCCACACACCTCGTGAAAGAGGGCTACGCAGTCCACGGCTTCGACGTATTCTCTGCCTCAGTAGAACGGTTCAAGGCCGCAGGCGGAATCCCAGCATCATCACTACAGGACTCAGCCAAGGAAAAAGATTTCTATGTTTGCATGGTAGCCTCAGCGCCGCAAGTGCAGAGCGTCCTTTTCGGCGATGACGGCATAGCCGCAGGTAAACCACCACACCCAACCAGAAACATATTGAAAACATACGGAAAGTAAAAGCCTAACCCATTCCCGCAATTCCAGCCCTCCCCAAAAACGCAACCCTCCTCCTCTGCTCCACCGTCCCAGCATCATACGCCCAATCCGTCGCCGCAGAGCTCGTCTCCATCGGCAGGAGCGACATAGCCTTCATCGACGCACCCGTGTCTGGTGGTGCGCTGCGCGCCGCTGCAGGCACGCTGTCGATTATGGCTGGTGCGTCTGATGAGGCGCTGCAGAAAGGCCGCTTCCTGCTGCAGGAGATGTCGGATGCTAATAAGCTGTATCTTGTTCCCGGTGGGATTGGTGCTGGTAGTAATATGAAGATGGTGCATCAGGTTTTGGCGGGTATTCATATTCTGGGTGCTAGTGAGGCTCAGGGATTTGCGGCGAGACTGGGGTTAGATGCTGTGAAGACGGCCGAGGCGATTAAGTCCGGTCCGGCTTGGACGTGGATGCATGAGAATCGGTTGCAGCGGATGTTGGAGGAGGATTGGCATCCTGGTGCTAGCGCTTTGACTATTATTCTTAAGGATGTGGTAAGGAGTGATGTCTTTTGCTTTTTCTTTTTCGTTGAGTTGGGTTTGGGTTTGGGAGGGATTTGGCTAATTGCGTTTCCATCAGGGGATTATCACGACATCGGCGCGTCAAAGTCAATTCCCGACTCCGCTTTGCTCGACTGCTGAGCAGGTTTATTTGTCTGCTTTGTTGCAGGGATATGGGGCTGTTGATGACTCGTCTATGGTGCGGCAGTATTTCGCTGAGCCGATTACCAAGGTCTCCTCTACTAAGTCTGATGAGGAGACGGCGGAGACGCTGCAGCTGGTGCTGGATCTGATGGAGGTGACGAACCTCGTTGCGGCTGCTGAGGCTATTTCATTTGCGCGCTATCTCAATGTCGATCTAAAGCAGTTCTATACTCTTGTCGGTGATGCTGCTGGTGCTAGTCGGCAATTTATGACGAAGGGGCTGGAGATTATTGAGGGGCTTGGACAGGGTGCTAATGGGGACTCTGAGACTGTTGACGCTGCTAGTTCTCGTTTAGAGAAGGCTGTGCAGAAGGCACGCGATCTGCACTGTCCTTTGAATCTGGGCAATGCTGCTTTGAACGTGTTGTTCATGGCTAAGAAGTCTGGGTTAGGAGCTGAGGGAAGTACTAGCGTGGTGAAGGTTTTTGAACCTTAGTTTAATTAGGATAATCAGATATGAAGGTTTATAGTCTAAATTCTACGTTCAAGGTTAAATTAACTGTCCTTTCACTGATAAAAGAATGTAAAAGAATGTCTTGATAGTATCAATAAGAAATACGTTGTGTGTGGGTATCCAGAATATTATATCCAACCAAAAGACCAATTAGTATGTACAGCCTAGGAGACCCCAAGGGGAATCCAAAAGCCAAAAAGAAAGAAAAGACAAGAATAACCAAAAGTCCCGACCCAAATCTTAAACTTAAACTCATTTCGCATGCCACACACAGTAAAACATCTAAACCTCAATTCCCTTGAGATTCTCGACCGAACCGACCGAAGTCCTGTGATCCTTAATGAACTTAGGCCAGGTATTCGTAAGCACAAGGTACTTAATACTAGCCTCGGCAGCGTCAAAGATCGAAGCATCAAAGTCCACAGGAATATCACCCCAGTACTGCACGCGGTCCTTAATCGACCCCGGCCTCTCGTGCATAGTCTTCCCAGAGTCCGAAGAAGAAGGCGACGGCAGATCGAAAGTGTATTTATCAAACGGACTGGTGGGATCACAGGATTCGCGCTCCTCGCCGTACACAAGGCGCGTCGGCTTCTCAAAGACGTCTTCCAGCTTGCGCAGCTCCTGGTGCGAGATGTTGACGGGGAACTCGGCATGGCGGACGCTGATGAACTCTGCGTAGATGTGCAGTGCGAGGTTGAAGTGTTCGCGGACGATGTCGCGCTTGCTCTTTTCTTGGAGGGCGCTGCCGTCCTTGATGGATTGCGGGAGTCGGCTGCGCCATTCTGCGACGCTGGTCAGGAAGACGATGTTCTCGCCGGAGAATTCGCGCAGAGCGGAGAATTCTTGGAGGGGAGCGGGGTTGCGCTCGAGGACGTGCTCGAGGGCCCCCATTGTTAGGATGCTGTCGCGGGAGCTCAGAGTACTCGACGAGCTGTTTGATTTCCAGCCTGACATCATGGATGCTACCATTGTCATGTCGGAGTGGAGGGATTTTTCTTCGGAGCCGGTGGATTTGACTTTCAGCTCCCAGCGGGCGATCGACTCGAGGGTTTCCTGTCGCAGGGACTGATGGCGCATTACTTCCCAGCAGGGGAGGAAGACTGTGAAGATTTCGATGAACATGATAGATAGGCAGATCCTATAGTATAGTTGCATTAGAGAAGTAGGTCTTTGTGGTTATGTTGGTTTAGAACTTACCACTGAGGAGGCACCCAGACTTTGTTGACTGGGGCCATGGCGGGGACGTAGAGGCCGATGAGCCACATCGGGGTAGCGTGAAGGTTGGAAACAGCGCAGCCAATGGTCTGGACTCGCCAGCCGTGGGTATCGTGGATGTTGCGAGACTTCCAGAGGACGATGGGGGCAACGATCCAAGACCAGAAGAACTGCGAGACCACACCGGGCCACCACTCCCATCCTGCGCCTTGTGCTGCCAGCACCTCAGCGGGGGTACCATGGACTCCGGTGCCAGGAATACCCCATGAGCTATGGTACTTGCGAGAGATCAACCACATAAGGATAGTGAGGAACACCTGCATGAGATTTAGATAAGACTAGTCACAGACATGGAAAGATAAAGTTGACATACCTGAACAAACATGGCAATAGCAACGTAAATAAGGATCTTGGTGGTATATCTGAGAGCACGGAAACGGTTGATCAACCCACCCTTGTGTTCCAAGGCAGGCGATTCAGTAAATTTGTATCCGTCCAGAGCGTATTTTCTCTGGAGCTTTGCGACATGTTGGAAACGAGTGTTGGAGCCATGGAAGAGTGCCATGCCACAGGGCAGAAGGGTCCCCATAAGCCAATAGCCGCAGTCACCCGGCAGCAGAGTGCCGATCATAGTTGCGAACTGGGTCGGGATCCAGTATAAATGAAGGATAACGATAGAGGTTAACGATAGAGCGAGGCCTCGAATGCGTAGTGTCGGCATATCACGGTTGGCGATCAGATAGGCCATACCGGCCACCAGGGCAGAAGTCCAGACACATGCCCAGACAACCCACCAGATGGTGACGGGGCCGAGATCAATTTGCGGCTTGGACTCGGCCGTGGCACCGTATTCGGACCCCATATCAAAAATGGTGCAAGTGCTTAAGGAATGTGTGTGAAGTTGGATAGCGCTTGATCGGTCCAAAGTGCCGGGTCATCTCCCTTATGTACAACGTGCATCGATGGACTGGAGCCACGGGGGTCAGCACTTGCACAAGGAAGTGGGCCCCCCTAACCAGGTTTTTCGGTGTTCGGTGATGTCGATCGCAGGGCTAAAGTGGCCTTTTTCACTCCATTGTTCTGCTGGCTAATATTACATTGTGGAGACTTTCAGGCGATGGAGGTATATAACTGCTCAGTTCTGGTTTCGCTGGAGTTCCGTTGCTCCATCGCCGTGTTGGTCCGTTTCTGTCCCGTTCGCGGATAAGAGAAATATCCACAGTTTGTAATTTGTCAAGAGATACGAGGATATGATTGGTTGAATAAGATGAGTTTTGAGATTTAAGATCTCTTGGCGGGTCCAAGTCGAAGTCTCCCCTTTTTCTATTGAATCCGCCCTTGACGCTATTGATTTTCCCAAAACTGTGTTTCCCGTGAAGGAAGTCGATCGTAGCCCTAAGAGGCAGGCCTTTTTCACTTCTTTCACTTTTTGCAATGACGTTAGAATGTTATGCAGATAGTATAATAATTAGGTGTTCGTTCTGGACTTCCTATTATCGCAAAGTCCATCTCATGTTTCAGACGCGTTTGTACGGAGTACGGAGTATCCACGTTGGATTACATGCATATGCAGGGACATTCTCTCCTGTTGGACTCTCAACATCACATGGGATTTTGAGATAATGTCTTGAATTCAGTCCAAGTCCATAGAGTCCAAAAAGAGCCTGTAGCAGGATCCAATGTAACAGGATCCAATGTAGCAGGATCCAAATATAGCCAAATATAGCCTAGTATATCAGACCCCGAAGAGACTATCGTTTTACTCCGTACAAAAATCAAGTATGATCAAATTTGAGTATTTCATATATTCTATCCTCAATATTAGAAAAGAAAACAAAAAACCAGTCTATTCTCATACCCAAAAGAAATTATAAAAAAAAGAAAGTAAATCATAAATCGCATCACTTCATACGTGAAGGCTCAAAAAGTCCCATAGCCTTAGCCTCCTCCTCAGAACCCGCCTGCAAATTCCCAGAATACTTAATATCAAACCCAGGAACAAGTAGGACATCCTTCAGGCCCCTATTCACAACCTCTTCCTCCGAACTCGCATACATATAACCGTAATACGTGTACTGCCCCGCGTCAGGGATCGACACGCCGCTAACCTCGGCCTTCGCACAACAATCCCCATCATGTTCAAGCTCCTTCAATCCCATCTGAAAAGCATCCAACTCACAGTATGCCTCAACATACCCATAATACCTCCCACCATAGTAATCACCACATTCACCCGGAACAGGCTCCGCATCACAGAGACCCATATATCCAACCTCCTCCAGGGAAGTCGCACTCATGTACCCGGTGTACCGATGACGCACCCGCTCCGGCATCGTAAACAGCCCATCCTTGCAACACCCCCATGGATGTCTGATATCAGTAAGCCCCATCGCACGCGCATGATGCAGGTCATCCGCCCGCAACAACCCGTAGAATTTCCCCCTCCTCACCGGGTATCCGACGGATATCCTCCAGCCAACGCTTCTCTGCATCAAACTCCGACGGTGCATGCATCACTCCATAGAAGAGGTGGAAGTCCGCTGTGCGCTCCGCGCAACATCCTCGCACGTGCACCGGGTCCAGTAGGCCCTGGCGATTCGCGTCGTCTTCCGACTCAGCCATCATGAACCCTTCCCACTCACCTGAGTAATTGCCATACGGCCGGACCTCGCGCAGCCCGCGGCGGTAGGCGCCTTCTTCGTCGGCGAACATGCTGCCCATGTACATGTGTTTCTTGGGCGAGGGGTCGGGGGTTGGTGAGGACTGTTGGCTATTGGGGGATGGACAGGTGCGTGGTGAAACGGGGTTGCTGGCGTTAGCGGGGGTTGCAGGGGTAGAATTCTTTGCTTGCCACATTCGGTTGATGGACTCTGTGTCCCAGAGATGGGGGTCCTCTTCGATGCCTAGCTCGGCGTTCTGCTCGCGTCGGTCGTCTCGGTCCTTCTGTAGAAGTGCGGTGTCTAGGAGCTTGGAGATGGCTTCCTGTCGGGCTTCTTTTTCGTTGTTTTCTTCAATGCGCTTCAGGACCGTCGCTTCAATACGCTGCTGCACAAGGTCAATGTCAAGAGAGGGCTCGTTAGACGAGTTATGGTCAGCAACTGTCCCCTCCAGAGTGTGGTGGTCATCTACGTCGGCGTCAGCGTCGTGCTGTTCATGGTCAGTGTCCACTTCCCGCTGTCGCTGTCGCTTCTCAAGATATTCGTCGATTCTCATCTTAAGTACATTATACCTTATCAAAGAAGATCCGCAGAGCGAGTCGGAAATACCTGTGTCGCTGCTTGCATCGCTGAGAGATGCACATGCAGCAGCCTCGACACCCGGCGATTCGGCCTCAACACCGCCCTTTGGATCGTCGCTCTCACAGCCGTGTGCGAGATGAGCCGGAGTGGTCTTGATTGTAGAAGCAAAAGAGTCAAGATCACCAGCTACCTCCGCACTGGGATTAGCACGAGCAGAGTTAACGACCGTCCGAGACGAGTTCTCGGAACGCGCCAGGCGTCCGCAATCCGACTCCGATTCGACAACAGCACGCGGGCAGATCTGGCCATTGTCGCTGTGGCCAGCACCGTCCTCGTCCCCATTGCCCGAATTACCAACGGCAGCACCCAAGAAGATCTGGCCATTGTCGCTGTGGCCAGTACTGCTTGTGTCCCTGTCGTCGGGAGTGGAATCACCCACCATGCGCGCGTTAACTTCAATGATACCGCCTGTGGCACCCAGGCCCTCAATCTTCTGGTAAGAGTTTGACGTCTGCGTCTGGCTGTCTCCGTGAGAAGAGAGGTTCTCGGCCCACTCCCGCTCGCACTGCACGCACATGCTGGGCTGGCTGGAGAGGAGGAGGTCGTGGGAGGGGTTGATCTGGGTGCAGGATACGCTGCTCTCTGGACCAGCCAGGCGGAGCTTGTTGGTGCATTCTTGGCAGCTGGTCATGCTCCAGTTGGAGATGTGTCCGCAGCTGGGATAGTGGTGGTAGGTGTGTTTACACATTTTAAGGACTAGAATAATGGAATAGATGAGTCTAGAGTAGAGGGAATATAAGAGATGATATGAGAGGAGTGCTCTGCCTATTTAATCTGCGCGAGGGTCGTGGTTTATATATTACTCTAGGGGTTGAGGGAGACTCCGGGCGAGTACAAAGCCGAGTCGATGAACAAAGGAGATATAACAAAGATGGGGTTAATGGCATTGTTTTCGGACGAAACTCTTTGTTTACTCTGAGTAATTGTTTGTGAACCAAATTCCCAAGGTTCTTTTGGCCGTTAGACGTGTTTCAAATATTCTCAAAGATATTCTGTGCTATCCAACCCATCTGACAATGGCCATTGTAACCAACTCAGACACCATACAACATAATCTAGGTGACGGTAAAACTGCTCGGGAAGTGATCGGCTCCCGGAGCCCTGGAAGCCTGGAGCACAGGGTGAGTTGGTCAGCTCCCTGCTTTTTACCTACGTAGTCTGCTGCCGGTATGGATCAGAAAGAGAACGTTCAGGCGGCAGATGAGATTGATCTCAAAAGTCCAAACTGTACTGCTACAGATTTCAGGTCATTCGAGGAGTCATGGCTCATATCTGCAATGGTTTCTTGTTTCGGGCTACATATGCCCATACCGATCTAAAATAATGTTCAGGTTCACCTCGGCTTCACTGAACGATGTGTTTCATCCACTTCCCAATCCAAGACTCGAGAGGCCGTCGATAGAAGCCCGCTTTACGCCTTTTTCGGTTTCTGCGAGGTCTGCCCCCTCCGTATATACTTCTCCAAGTTCCTCGCATCGCTATCTGCTGGGTTAACTTGCCCGTGAATAGGGTCGACAATAGGAAGAGGTCCCCTTGCATATTTTGGATGATTCAAGTAGTGGGGGCCAGAGGTGGGAACTCCACCATTTTTCGTATTTGTTGGGAGCTCCTCAGACGATTGGTGATTAGGACTAAGACAGACTCCGCACCCGCCGCATATTATAAAAAAGTTGCTATCGAACGAGGAAAGGAAACGTTCCGGAAGATGTCGTTCAATGAGACTCAGCTTCAACGTCGTTAGGTCGGCTTTAACATCCCGACACATAGTCTTCCGCAGTTGGTACCATACTTTCCTTTTCAGCCAATCTAGCGATGGGATATCAAAGAAAGAAAGCTCCAAATCCGTATGCAACTCGGGAGCATTATCAAAACGAGAAGGGAAGGATTCATTGAACTCGGAAAGGCGATGGTGGAGATCCATACGCTTGTCGTCAACGTTGCTGAACTCTAGATTTTCAAGCAAGAGATACTCCTCAATCAAACATTGAAGATACCCCATAGCATCCTCCATGGAATTTTGGTTTAGTTCACTCAGGTTCTGTAGTAGCTGGAGGCGTCTTTCCGGACTGCGAGACTTTTGAAAGAGGCTCTGAAAGGCAGATTGTTGCATGACATAATCTCCGAGATCTTGAGCAGCTGAGGAGACGATTTCAAGACTGCTTCCGGTGACACTGGTAGATTCTTTGGCTTGTCGCTGTTGATTTTGGGTTGACGCGTTTTCCGTTTTTCTCAGTCCTAAAGATCGTGTCCTGTTCACCGGGTCTGTGGTGGACTCCAGTAAGCATATCCTAGAGCTCAGTCCTGACTGGACTGCAGAGAGAAAGGATTGGTTGCTTATCCATCGCCCTTGTCCTGTCTCAAGGAGCAACCAATTCAAATATGATCGACTGTTGATCAGATGTGGGTGCGTCAAAACAATGGACGTCGCAACTGAATGTGCCTTCCTGGAAAATTGGCGTTGGACGGATAGAACAGCCTTGGGGCCGGACTCGATATTCAGAAAGTCGGCAAGAAGAGATGCATTGGCAAGTTCTGTTAAAAGAAGTTGCTCATCATCTTTTGACGCACCCTCGTATCTAAGAAACACGTCTGGTGCCTTTGATATATCATCGCTCGGCTCGACAAGGTCCCCAAAGCCTGCACTGGCCGTATACTGGCCATCGCTATCTCCAAGTAACTGGACCATGATCCGTAATAAACGGTGTGATTCCCATAAAAAGCCCTCTTGAACTAAGAAGCGGTACCAGTTACCGATTCGAGGTAAATTTTGTTTCTGTGTGTTATTTCCTGGCAAAAGCGTGCGATAAACTGGGCCTTGATCCGCCAAAAGAAGTCGCGGTGCGGAGAAACTGCACTCCCTGCCATGTTGGCCAGGCAAGGAAAACGACCAATCCAAGAGAAAATTGAAAGAATCGTTGTACAGGTAGGTAGAATGGGTGGCCGCATATGCGACAATGCGTAAACAAGCTTCCACCAGCTGGATCTGAGAAAGAGTGAGTCATGCTCAACCGTGAGATTTAATTACCTACCTGGACACCATTGGACAATTTGGACCACAACGGATTTTCTTTAATCTCACTCGGCTCGCTCGCGTATATTTCGATTGTCTCCATAGTCATCTCTAATGCCGGTATTAATGCTCCCCTTGTGTGGATCTCCGTCAGAGACTTGAGAAGTCTTAGCAGCCGAATCTCATGTTCAGAATATTGCATGAATGAGTCATCTAGTTGATCCGAAATAAATATTTCGAGACGTCCGAAGCTCCCCTGCTCTAGGAGAAGGTCTGCATATTCGGCTGCCACTGGGAAGAAATCAACATGAGCTGCAAGCCGTTTGTCAAAGAGTTTGACAGCTTCTTTGAAGTGACCTAATCTGTTCAGTTGAGACAAGCGCTCTATATCCGGACTGACATCCAAGGCTGCTTCCAGTTCAAGATGTATAGTAATATCTTTAGCGCCAGGTCGGAGTTGGCAATCAGGCGACTGTGATCTCGGCTTCTCTTTTGACAGTGTCCTTGCTCTTTCTGCTGGAGGGAAAGCGCCAAAGGTTGGGCCGAAGGAGTTGCTGTTGCCGGACATCCGTGCAGTCCGCGCCTGCGGAGGCCACCGCCTCCTTTTCTCATCTTCCTCAGGGAGGTGGGGGTATTGGCCCGGATAGTCCTCAAAGTCTCGCCACCGAGAAGGGCCCCGGCGGGGACGAGTCTCATAGCACTCGCGTTCGGACATACGCCGGATACGCTGGCGTACCGCGTTTAAGCCGCTCGATGGGGGGCAATAAGTTCGAGAGGCTGAATCGGACGGCTTCAATTTATCCGGAGGTGGCAGATGTGTCCGGTCATCGTCATATACCCCCGACGAAGTCTCCTCGTCCGAAAGAGAAATAGACGGGATTCCGCGCCTGTGCCCCCAGCAAGGAAGATAATCAGCGATCCGCGGCCCGTGGTCTGCAGTCTACAGTCTTCGTGTTTTGCGAAAAGGGGGCAACAGATGGGTAGAAGAGGAGGAGGAAGCAGGGAGGGAGGGGAGAGGAGGGAGTGGGAGAGGGCAAAGGAGATGAAGGAAGAGGGGATGGGATAAACCTACACCATAGAGATAATGCAGAAAAGCCTTGTAGAGCCGGAAAGAAAATCGAAAACCGGTGTAGAGTGATACTCTCGGGTGTAAGAAGCGAGGAGGTATGGGAGAACGAGGAAGGGCGAAATTGGTAGTTTTGATATGTTATTGATGGAGATTCTGAGATGACAATTTGGACAAGAAGTGAACAAGTCGAAGTCGAGATTCAAACTAGTCTTAAGGCGAAGAATTGCAAAATAGAAATAAAATAGGGGAAAGAAATAAGAATTAGCCAGGGCTTTTAAGGCGGGTACCTAACCAAATGTATGTTGGGCTTTGGGCATTGATGTTTTTCTAAAGATAAGCAGGCAAGAGTACTGTGCCTAAATTCGTGTAGATTGTACATACCGAGGTACGCACATACACGTATGTATGTATGTGTGTGTATAAAAGGTCTGCTCCGGTTGACTCACTCGATAGACCTACTCTGCTACCGAAATACCTATAATTCATCGACCCCAGCAGCCGACAGGATCAAACACCTCCGAACTTCAATTGTGTGGATCATAATGATTATCCATATAGGCCTATCCTTGTCTTACCTCCCAAGACTCTTGCCGTTCATAAAGAAAGGTCGAATCTCCACATCTCTCTCGCCATTGAATAATCCCGCGAGACCTACCTACAAGCCAAAAGTACTGGACATAACGTGACAGTTCAGCTGGCATCCGCAGATATGAGGGGGCATACCAATACTTATGCAGACTCGACACCAATAAGGAACACCGACGAAGCCCCACATCCAGACTGTATTATACGAAACGAACTAATGCGGCTCGGGTTAAAAGAAAAATAAAGGTGAAAGGTGTAAGTGATTCCGTGCCAAACCCCGCTCCTGATCCGTTCAGCTTGGGACAACCATCCTCCTAGGACAATGCGTTTGAACCGTTCACGTCGCTCCCCGAAGCCATTTAGATATGTGGATGTCTGCGAAATACAGTCTAGTGCAAGCCTTTGCGATCTTAAGGTCGGAAAAGTACGGGTCGACTGTTGCTTCCTCATGTCCAAGATGCGCTGGGGGCAGCTCGACGGCAAAGACTCTGGCATGATGTACCTGGACCTGACATTTCACCAACCTGCTGACTGCAAACTGGCGCAAGCGACCATCACCATGAATTTTCACGAGATCCAAGGTTCTCGTGCAGGTAGTCATTCCAAGGATAACTCCGATCTCGAAGTCACCGAGTTCTTCGGCCCCAGGACACTGAGTGGTGAGAAGAGACAGAAACAAGTATCCACGACCCTTGAGACCAACCCCAGAGTCGGAAATGCCGGCGGCCACTTTGAAGGAATTGGCTACTCGAGAACATCAGAAGCCAGCTACTCCTCCAGGTGGAAATTCACTGGGTCGCGGTTTACCATCGAATCTTCTACCAACGATGATACTCGAAGCAGCCGGTACCGACAACTCGTTTGGCACTTGGAAGAAAATGAGTTGGAGCACCAGGCGGTTCACAATTCCACTGTGCATTCTGCGCTTGCATTCCACCATTGCTCGAGGGATTTTTACCTTGACCTTCATATCGAGGTCAAAATGCAGCGGTGGCATCACCGACTCCAGCAACATTTCGTCTGTCCACCGCGAGACCGGAAGGCATGCACAAGAGCCAGAATCGAACCTAGTGGCAATGCAGCACCGGATACACTCTTTGAACAACTGGCCAGAGATCTAGACCACTCCATGACAGAGGCGAATTTACATCCCGTGGTTGGTGAGTTCGCCCGAACACGCCCCGAAGAGGATTTGGCCACTGACGCCTAATAAAGAGATATCGGACCCGCGACCGACGTTTATAAGTAGTTCTTTCAGAGATAAGGAGAGGGACACAGGTGCTGACCTCAGAAGTCTCCCCAACGAGTCTCTTATAGCGCTGGTACGGCAGGTGACCGGCCAGGAATTGCCAAGTGCCTTTCCAGAAGCCGAGCCCAGCTTGGTGACGTCGATTCGAACAGGTAGCTCCAGCTCTACGCTTGTAGAATCGGGTACCTTAAAAGAGCATGACGAAGGAACTGAGCCTGATGCTGCGGTTGACAAGGTTGCCAGTCCCTTGCCGTCTGTTTCTCCAAACCAAGTGAACAGTACCCATACGCTCCACGAAGCTATATTGCATATAATTTTCTATGTTTTATATCAAGCAGCACGGTTTGCGGCTGTATTGGTAGCATCGCTAATTTCGGGCTTGAATGGGCTTCATTCGGCTCTTGCCCAGGCGGGAAAGTGACGGTAAATCGTTATCATTATACTATGAGTTTTGCAACGGATCTGTATGGCCACTCTGTTCGATTCTTAGATCTTCGCGTATCAGACGAGCTCTGAACTCTCCCAAAGTTTTCGGGTTCCTTTTCCCTCATATTTGACCCTTCCATCGCCCGGGTGTCTGTAGAAAAACAAGTCAAGAACAAAACAAGTCAACCCTCCAAATCCACCAAATACCGGACCCCAGAGTCGATCAACCACCAAGCAGCAGTCTCATGCATCCACCTCAAAACAGGCCTCTCCAACGGCATCTTCCTACCCTCATCCGCCCTCTTCCACATAACAGTCTCACTACAAAACACAACCTTCCCTTCTTGACTACATTCCTCAAAACTAATCGCCAACCTCCCTTGCACAAAATCCACCGTCTCCATCTTAATCTCAAATTCAACCCGATCCCTCCTCCGCACCACAACCCGATAAACCCCACAAACCAAATCCCCGACCTCAAAATCCAGCGCGGCAAGATACCCCGCCTTGAAACTCTGCTTCTGCTCTGGCGTCTTGCTCGCCATGGCAAGCACAAGCGCTTGCGGGAAGCGCGAGAAAGCGGTCATGTTGCGGCGCACGAGTTTTGTAAAGAGCAGTTCTGTCGTCTCATTGCTGGGGAGACAGACCCGCGACACAGACTTTGACGCGTGGTCGTAGAGCGTGAAGTACTCATCGCTAAAAACAGATTCCGGAATTGATTCTATGTTTGTTGGTTTTGTGGCTGTGGAGAGGGGTCCCAATGTGGGACTTGTGTGCTACGCGCTTTGATAGGCGTTCGTGGAAGATGTAAAAGTAGATTGCCGAGGAGCTGGTTATTATTGCTGTTGCCGTGAAGATAAGGCGTATCATTTTGTTGGTTGCAGCCCTGAGATGTCTTCAATGGTGATATTGGGGGTTTCATGTTGAGAAAAGTCGATGTCAAGTGATCGCATCATCGGATACGAGGTCGGCTTGGCGCGTCATATGTCCTACGTCTTATCGTATTTGCCAGTTCAAGTAATTCTCGTATAAATTCAGTATATTAAATCGTCAATCAAATCGACCTTCACAAATAAAATGTCAACATTTGAAAAGCGCAACACCAACCCCATGACGTCAAACAAAGTGGTATCAATTCTGAAAACTCGAAAACTCTCAATTCCTCGCCCCATTCTGCAAGACATTTACACGGCCACTATTATGCCATTTCGCAAGCTTAGCACCACACTTTCCACAAGAATGCTCAGCATCCTTAAGCGAGGCCATCAAGTAAGGGATACAGCCTAGGCAGCAACAGAAGCAAAGAACAGCAGCCCAGCCACTATGAAAAAGTCAACCACCAATCTAATAATTCACAACGGAATCCAACTTACTGCGTGGTTCCACCGCTTACAGACTGAACACTAGTCATCTCCCGCTGTCCACAAACAGGACAGTCAACCGGACACGGCGCAGACTGGACACAGTGCAGCGGAATGGCCGCGGCATACCCACTGGGATGGGCGGAAGGCGTGTAGAACTGCTGCGGCTGGCCCGGCCCCTGGAGCTGTGCTTGGGCCTGTGCTTGGGCGTGCGCGTACTCCGGCAGGGGCTGGCCTGCGTATGCCTTCTCGGGCGGAGCAGTCATTGATGTCGATGCGTCGTATGCTGGTGCTTGGCCGATAGAGTCGGGTTGGTGGGGGTATTGTTTTTCGGAGGGGTTGGTTGTTGGTGTTGGCTGCATGGTGTCTAGGAGGGACTGGCCAGTTGGGTTTGGGCTCACGGGGCCTTGGGTTTGATGGTCTGGGGTGACGACTTCTGGGGCTTCGCTGTATGTGGGGGTTATTGCTGGGGCTGTTAGTTATTGGGTATTATATGGGGATGCGAGGAAGTAATGTACTTGGTGTTTGCTCGGGGTGTTTGGGTTGTTCTGGCATTCTTTTGGGTCTGGGAATTAGGGAGAGGAGATTTCAACTTGGTTTAATGGGGGCAGGAAGGGTTTTAAGTCGAATCTGACAGAGTTTGCAGATGGTAATAATTAAATGATATAAATAGAGCGGTCAATAAGATCGTCAAGGGCTAAAATGTCCGTTGTCGTTCGTATTATAGTGGATACCTGGGGATTTCACGGGTGCACTGCCTTCAACGGGTTGGGGAAGACAAGTCTGAGCCCACGGCTAGGTACTTATCAGTAAGGGTTTCAAGTCACTATTTAGCCAGAGGACCAAGCGAAAGCCGTCAGATTGGTTGATCCAGCTCTTTACTCGTATCCCATACGAGATTTGGGAAAACGGGAATTGTCTACAGAGGCATATGGAGTAATGTAAAAGGCTATTGACAGGAATGCGGCTTATTTTGCGACCAATCTCCACTTGTATCAGGTCCACATGAAGGGTGGATACTATCTTCTATGTTGTACTTCGTATAACAGACTCGAGGTGTAGAATTCCTATATTAAACAGCAAATCTGTATATCACAATATGAGCTTATTAGGATTGGTATATTGTAGTTGATTCTACTTGTTACTATTATATTTCTTATCTTTTATTCTTCTATATCCCAAGAAGAAATCAAAATCAAAATCCGCCCCATTTGGACCCCTGGCGATTTTAAGATTATTACATCCGACACGAGAGACGATCTCGAACGCCAACCCAATCACACGGCGACTTGCGACTCCGCAGCAGATCAATTCCCACCCGGGCGCCCATCTGTGAGCCTCTGAAGGCTGAGTGGGAGGCTGAGGCGTAAATGTTCCTTAACCATGCCGATACTCGTGGGGCTGCGGGATATTTGGCCCCCAAGCACTATTCAGAACACGCTGTACATTATTACATTAATTGCGTCATTGCGTATATATGATACCCTAGAAATAATAGCATCATGCCATCTTTTAATATAAAGTGAGATAAAATTGAGTACATATGTATCTAATGAGTCTATGTATAATTGTTAGCTTCTGGGTGGAAATCGAAATAGTATCAATTGATATCCCTCTATCTTAAGTCACAAAGTTGCATGTGGAGTAAGATATATATGCATATATAAGATAGAACAAGATATTAGATATACAATTACTATCCCAATAACATTTCCTGCTAAAGACCAAGACCCCAATCGAAAAAAGAAACAAATCGCTTCACGCTAGATGCCAGATGCTATACACACACATACTCCATAATCCCAAGCCATCAGAAATACTGATACCGAACCGGCCCTGCCCCAGGATGATATCCATACTGCGCAAAAACCCCCAAAATCTCGCTCCTCTGCATCTTCGCCGCATAAGCCAAAACCGTCTCCATCCGACCAATCCCCCCCCTTAACAAACGGATCCGCCCCACGTTCCATCAAAAGCCTAACCATCTCCAAAACACCCGTCTGAACAGCCTTATACAACGGCGTCTGCCAAGGATACCGCATAAGATCAACAGCCGCACCACGATCAAGCAACAGCCTCGCAACCTTCATATTCCCATTCAACGCCGCCAACGCCAACGCCGTATCCCCCGTACGATTAACAGCATCAACGTCCGCCCCGCAGTCCAGCAACATCTCCACAATCCGGTCCTGTCCGTACGCGGCCGCCTGCGAGAGCGCCGTCTTGCCCGACCCCTTGCCCGCGTCGATATTCGCGCCTGAGGCAAGTAGCATCCGCACGATGCGATCGAAGCCGTACGCTGCGGCGATGCCGAGAGCTGACTCGCTTTCCATTGTTCGTGCTTCCATGTCCGCGCCGTATTCTAGTAGGAGGCGGGTTGTGGCTTCGTGGCCGAAGGAGACGGCGGCCATTAGGGCTGTTGTGCCGTCGGGTTTTTGGGCGTTGGCGTCGGCGCCTTTGGAGAGGAGGGTTTGGACGGTTTGGTGTTGGTTGGCTTTTATGGCGGCTATGAAGGGGGTTTTTGGGCTTGTTATTTCCCATAGAATGCGGCTTATTCGGTGGGGCTTTTTGGACTTTGTTGAGACTTTGAAGGTGTGGAGGTCTAGTGAGGGTTTTCGTGGCTTGTGCTCGGTAGGTACTGTCACTGGTATTGGGAGGTTCGCGTCGTTTTCTCGTGGTTTTTCCTCTGTGAGAACTGGAATGGGGAAGTCTTCGACTGGTAGCGCTTGTTTCTGTGTATCTGTGCAATCTTGCATGTCCAATATCACTGGTATTGGGAGGTTCTCTTCTTGTACTGTTTCTTTTTCTGGATATGGTTGCTCTTGGCTCGAATATGAGCTATGCCTATCTGAAAATGAGAAGCCTTTCGGTGGGAGCGGGAGAAATGGAAGCCCAGTTGGTTCATCTGCTAGCCAGTCCTTGTCGTCCAGGCTTCTTTCCAGGGCTGGTGCTGGTGCCGTAGATTCAGCGATTTCCTCCACTGGAGCCGTGTTTTCTTTGCTACCAGATAGTAGGCCATCTGTCTCTGCTATCTTTCGAAGGGTCGATATAACGAAGTCACGGTTCAGAGTCAATAAATCAGAAGCAATACCGGTAGTCACCAACTCGCCCTGCAGCCGAGCCCAGACTCCATCTTCCTCAAGCCTCGAAGAATCCTTCAAAATATCGGAAACAACCAAAGCCTCCTTCTTGTTGGCATGTATTTCATCGATAAAACACCTCAGCGCGCGCTCAATAATCTTCTGAGATGACCTGTATCAATGTTAAAACCCACACCAACCCATATAAAGAACCTCGCGAACAGACATCATCATATTCAAATTTACCTCGGTAAGTCCAAAGATAACTGAGGAGAGACGCGCCCGAATGTCAGAAACCAGACTCTGAACCCCGAGCGCATCTGGATGCAGCAGCAGCTTCTGCAGTTCAAGTAGGACGACATGGCAGCTGTGCAATCTTTTTTTCAAAACTGCAATATGGACGCATCCTACACCTAGAGAGGGAAGTGTATGTCTCGGACGCGCTTAGCACGGCCAGAAGCAGGCCAAGCTCGTTTTGGGCCTGGTTCGTTAGGGCCATTGACCCCCGCGTCGACTCATACAGGGAGTCGGCTAGCAGTCGGATTGCAGTGGTTTGGTGGCATGGCTGACTACCTGCCCCTGCTTGTAGAGACATGATGTTGGACTTAGGGATACGCAATGGGACTTGACCTGGGATGAGTGCGACATCCAGGTGACTGGGGGCTCATCTGGAGGGGCCCGTGCAGCATCGGGCGGTTTTGGCCCCATCTGGGCCATTTTTGGTGATTATGTCATGGGAGATGTGATATGTATTAAAGGAAATAAAAGGTAAAGGGAGTAAATTAGACTCGATTTAAGTGAAGTATTACATAGGGGAGACAATGGGAATGGCTCGAATCCGATTTGAAATCAGTTCCATGTGCGTAGCCTGGAATGGACATGGGACTACAGCCTCCGTATATATTCACAACACGAGGATCCCATGAGTTAGTCTATCTACTCCGTATAGTACTCGGTTTCCATTCGAGTTTGAGGATTCGAAACACGCGTATTACCTACTTAATTATGTCTGGAGGTCTACAATGGAAGATAAGTCAAACAAGTATACTTGGTTTATTCAATAACAGCAAAAGCAACAAAAGTAACTAAAAGAAGCTCATGGACGAGAAAGGTGACCATATTCCATATCCAAGGGCAGCGGCCGGCTAGAGAGCAAGATATTACTCGGACGAATATCATCCAAATCCGAAGCTACACAAAAGTCAACGCTTGCCTTGGGTTCTACCGACAGCTCATCGGCTTCAAGGTCATCAATGGCCTGGGTCAAAGGCGCCATAATGCGGTCGCGGCAAAGATGCTCGAACTGGCCGAAAAAGTGGTCTACAGGCCTATTGCAGACAGTGCGAGAATTCGGACATGTCTGTGCCATCTTCTCGCCTAGGACAAAGATGGCCTCCAGCAGCCTCACCAGTCTGTGGAGGTTTGGAATGATCTCGGCGCGGCGACCGTCTCCGAGACTCAGCATTCGAAGCTCCTCGTATAGGCTGGCCTTGAAGCTGTCGCATGCAGTGAGGAATCGCTTCTCATAGTTCATCCTGTCGACCGCTTCGTCGCTCGGGTATCTATTCGAAACCATATTGGCTGTCTGTGGTGAGAATAGGCTGAGGATTTGATTGGCAGAGTGAATGGGTGTAGGTCTGCTTACCTGGAGTCTTTGATGACTGTAGATGATGGAATGGATGGTTTGAAGAGACGGGAATTTCCATCTATTTATGCTTTTTCAGTTGCTGTTGACTAGTTTATTAGACAAAGACCTAGTCAATTGTAATCAACAAAGGAACAAAAGACATGTCTTTCATGAACCTTTTGTCGAGTCCATGGACAAGGAGACAAAGGCGAGCGCTTTGTCTTCACACACGGATACAATCAGGACCGTGGTGGTTGACAAAGAATGAACAAACAGCTCGACTGCTAAATCAGTATTTTGAAGCCACTCCGTCTAGCAGTGAATAGGGATAATGAAGCTAAGGGAGAAATACTGCAAGAGACAGTAAGACAGGGGAGAGAGAGCAGAGAGAAGCCTCTTCAAACAATCACTAATAGTATGCTCTGTAAGTTTTCATGACTGTCTCTCTGACTCAACAACCCATAAACTAATCTTATTCCTAACTATCAGGCTACCTAGTGGTACGTCGAAACCATGCTTCACTAAGTAATTCTTTTGCTGTCGGACGATCACCAGGGTCGATCTTCATCATGCTCCTTAACAACATTACAAACTCCTCCTTGTCATTTCCCGTGAGACTCTCAATCCAGTTCTCCAGAAAGGCTTTTGGTCGAGGGATAGGATCGCAGATGTTTCCTTGGTCATCGAAGTATTCAGCTACGATCTTTGGGTCCCCTAGCGCTAGTAAACGAGGAGGAAACGGTCCAAAGAGAGCCACTATTTCTTCGAGATGATGCTTGGTCCGGAAGACGCCTCCGGTTTGCTTTGCTCGACCATCGAACATTCGCACCGCATCTAGAACCTCTAGTAAGACAGCACCTAGATTCCAGATATCGACTGGTGGTCCCCACGGGGCTCCAATGATGACTTCCGGTGCTCGAAGCAGCACAGGCTGTATAACTTCTGTAAGGTGGTTATCAATCCAGCTAGCAGAGCCCCAATCGCAAAGAGTAACATCAAGGGTCATCAGATCCGTGGATTCTCGGATATAGAAGTCCTTTAAAGGTTGAGACACAATTGTCGAAGGTTCAGAAGTAGGGTCGTAGGCCATAGGGTCTGGAGTTGTATCCTTTAGGTAATCCTCAATGATTGAAAGGTCCGGAATTTGCACCATAATATTCCGGGGTTGGATATCTACGAGTTCCATTTCTCAGCTCTCAATATCACTTGCAGTTTTAGATTAGCGTACCTGTATGTATGACTCCTGATCGGTGTGCGTAATCTAAGGCAAGAAGAAGTTGCTGGCCAAAGAGTTGCATGATCGAATTTGGGACCTGATCTTTGGCAAACAACGTGCCAAAAGTCCTTAGGTTCTCTCCCATAGGCTCCAACACAAGACATAGATGTTGGCCATTTGGACCAAGATGTTTAAATGAATCGACAAGCGTGGGGATGTGTCGGTATCCATCATGTTTCGGATCTGAATCGCCTAACCGCTCGAGAACTTCCAGTTCGAATATATCTTGAGACCCATCATAACATTCTGCGCCGAGAACCTTCAAAGCCTTGTAGCTGCCAGTCCTAAATGATCCTGATAATCAGAGAACGCCCCATCAAAATAACGGTGACAGTCGTCTCGCCTTTGATCCTTTACTAGCCATACTGTCGAGTACCGACCGTAACCAAGTTTTCTGAGGACCTCATAGCGACAATGAAAGACATCGCCGAGATGAACAGGGTGGAATCCACCGGGCTGGTAAAGGTCATGGGCTTCTTCGGTGCGGTAACCAGCCATCACTAAGTACACGGGAAGACGGGGCTGAGCGTGGATATAAGGATTTACGTTGGGGTGCGCAGTCACGGGACCCTATTTGTCCTAGGACGGCGCAGTTAGATCCCTTGCATTTGCTCTCTGTTCCCCGAGTTAAGTCGATAGCCTAGCAGCGGATATCGCCACTTGACCATAAGAAAGTCTGCCTAGAGGATCATATCCAGGGTTGTATATTCTGGTCTAACATAACCCACTGCCATATTATTGAAATCTTGTTCCGGTCTTATCGACTGGACGTTTGCTAGGGCGGTACAAGTATGAGGCATTTGGTCCCTCACTGTTGACAGCAGAAATAAATGATGTATACGAGGGCAAGCCCGGCTGACCCCGATGCGGCATGATCCTGGTAGAGGCTATACATACTAAGAGCAAGCATCTAGGTCGCTTTGTCGATGGCCCTGGTTTAGTTCGCCGCTTCTCTTTTGGTCTGGGGATGGGCATGGACATGTCTTGGGACGAAGCAGTTGCTTTATTCCGAGGTATCATTGAAGGGAGCGGTTTCTAATTTGACTGGCATGTCTGGCATCAAAATCGGCTATGTCAAGTGGGCCAGTGATGCTAGGTTGCAAGCTCTCCTGCTCGCGTTGGGAGAAACCTACACTCTCTCTAAGGAACGGAGGGAGTAAGCAGCAGGTAATTAGGGTATCTGTAAATGGCTAAAAAGCTCTCGGAATGCGTCTTTTGGTCTATCAGCCCTTTTAAAGGCCGGAACTGGCTTCTGTCGACTAGACCTGGCCCTGCACCTGAACGGGTACCTGCACGATATTGTGTAACTTCTGACAGACTCTCCCGGTGAGAGAAGACGATCAACAAAAAATTGTCCGAGTAACTAGCCTCTGAGGTTAAATTTGCTAAGATAATCATGAAGCTGTAGAGATGAACGTACCTAGTTAGGGTAGGATGTCTGAAAACAGCTCTGTACCTGCGGATCCGTTCCCGTCGATGCTCCACATCCCCACTGGAGCTCGAAGAGAATCAAAGTCCAATGCAAATGCATTTATAAAAGACGGAATTGGGACAAAAATAAAAATATCCACTTTGACTTTGAAATATCAAGGAAAGTTAAGAAGGACAAAGCGTTGAGGGGTTGATGTCACATGTTGAGAACCCCCCGCTGGAATTTCCTTGATCTGGACCTTCCAAGGTTCCCCCCATCTTCTCTCCACCTCCCCAGCTCTCTCCCCACCAGATATGCCTTCTACCATTGACAGCTCAAATATTCCCACTGATGGCACAGGTAAGCTTACAATTACTAGTATTTTCAAATGTGTTTCCAATTTTAACAAAAAAATAGGTGTTATCCAGCTAGACCCATGGCTGGAACCCCATCGCGATGTCTTGAAACATAGATACCAAGTAGTCGAGGAATGGGCCAAGACCATCAATGAAACAGAAGGTGGATTGGACAAGTTCAGCAAGGTGAATTGAGCTCCATTTATTGGTATCCTCTAAACTAATGCGTTTATCAGGGCTACGAAACCTTCGGACTTCATGCGCAACCCAACGGAGAGATCAAATACCAAGAATGGGCACCCAACGCAAAGGAGGCTTCTTTAGTCGGTGAATTCAGTACGTTGTGTACTACTGCCCATGTTTGGAGAGCTTGACTGAGACTGGCAGACAACTGGGACGTCAATGCCAACCCCATGACGAAGAACAGCTTCGGCGTCTGGAATGTAACGGTACCAGCGAAGAACGGCGTTGCCGCTATTCCCCACGACAGCAAGATCAAGGTAAGCACATCAACCCTGCACGTAAACAGAACACCCACTAAGAAGCTCCGACAGATCACAATGGTACTCCCCAGCGGCGAGCGCATCTACCGAATCCCCGCTTGGATCAAGCGCGTGGTCCAAGACCTGACCGTGTCTCCTGCATATGATGCCGTTTTCTGGAACCCGCCCGTAGACGAGGTACACAAGTTCCAGCACGCGCGGCCCAAGAAGCCGGAGAGCCTGCGCATCTACGAGGCACACGTCGGCATCTCGTCGCCGGAGACTAGGGTTGCTACATACAAGGAGTTTACGAAGAACATGCTGCCTCGTATTAAGTATCTGGGATATAATGCAATCCAGCTAATGGCCATCATGGAGCATGCATACTATGCTAGCTTCGGGTACCAGGTGAACAACTTCTTCGCGGCGAGCAGTCGCTACGGATCCCCAGAGGATCTGAAGGAGCTTGTTGACACAGCTCACGGCATGGGGCTGATCGTTTTGCTTGATGTGGTTCACAGCCATGCCTCCAAGAACGTCATCGATGGAATTAACGAGTTCGATGGAACGGACCACCTCTACTTCCATGGTGGTGCGAAGGGCCGCCATGAGCTGTGGGACAGCCGTCTGTTCAATTATGGAAATCACGAGGTGCTGCGTTTCCTTTTGAGTAATCTGCGCTTCTGGATGGAAGAGTATAAATTCGATGGATACCGCTTCGACGGTGTGACCAGCATGCTCTATACGCACCATGGTATCGGAACGTACGTGCATTATCCTCCTATTCTTTTTAGAAGAACCTGCTAACTAAAGGAAACAGCGGCTTCTCCGGCGGGTACCACGAGTACTTCGGGCCAGCCGTCGACGAGGAGGGTGTCACATACCTCACCCTCGCCAACCAGATGCTGCATGAGCTCTACCCGGACTGCATCACAGTCGCAGAGGATGTCTCCGGCATGCCCGCACTGTGTCTACCCCACGCACTAGGCGGTGCCGGCTTCGACTACCGCCTCGCAATGGCCATCCCAGACATGTGGATCAAGCTCCTGAAGGAAAGCACAGACGACGAGTGGGACATGGGCAGCATCTCCTTCACGCTCACCAACCGTCGCCACGGCGAGAAAACCATTGCCTACGCCGAAAGCCACGACCAAGCGTAAGTCCAACCTCCAAACCTATCTAACCAATCAACTAACCCATAACCCCAGCCTCGTCGGCGACAAGACCCTAATGATGTGGCTCTGCGACAAAGAGATGTACACACACATGTCCACGCTAACGGAGTTCACCCCGGTAATCGAGCGCGGCATGGCGCTGCACAAGATGATCCGACTAGTAACACACGCCCTCGGCGGCGAAGGCTACCTGAACTTCGAAGGCAACGAATTCGGACACCCAGAATGGCTGGACTTCCCCCGCGCCGGCAACAACAACTCCTTCTGGTACGCGCGCCGCCAGCTAAACCTAACCGAAGACCCGCTGCTGCGGTACCGCTTCCTGAACGAGTTCGACCGCGGGATGCAGCTAACCGAGCAGAAGTATGGGTGGCTTTCTGCGCCCCAGGCGTATATCAGCCTGAAGAACGAGAGTGACAAGGTCCTTGTCTTTGAGCGGGCTGGATTGCTTTGGATCTTCAATTTCAATTCTACGAAGAGTTTCACTGATTACCGTGTCGGCGTTGATGTTCCTGGTACGTATCGGATTGTTCTTGATACGGATGAGACGGTGTTTGGTGGGCTTGGGCGGAATGTTAAAGAGACGCGCTTCTTTACTACTGATCTGGAGTGGAATGGGAGGAGGAATTTCGTGCAGGTTTATATTCCTACTAGGACTGCTTTGGTATGTGTTTGGCCTTTTTCTTTACTCCCCGTCTGTGTTTGTTCTGGTTTGCTGACTTTGCTACGTTCCTTGCAGGTCCTGGCTCTGGAGAGTACTCTGTAATGTGAACGCCAATCCATGTCTGTGCCTGTGTCTTGCATGCAGCCGAGTCGGAGACTGAACTTCCGCTGCTGGTTATTTTACAAGGTGGTGTTCTTCGCTCGTGTGGTTGACGTGATTTGACCTACTTCCTCGTTGTCTAATCTCCTGCATTTGTTTCTAATCACGGCTATCTATGTCTAGCAACGTCTCATATCATATACATTGTTTTTTAAACGCATTTTGCATTGTAGACTGGACAGAGAGAGCTTCGAGGAAGATAGTGTGTTGCACTGCACGAGTCATCTGTAGGTAGTATAGAAAGACCCTCTCGAGGAAATAAGTTTCGGTATAGAGGCACCATATAACCTAGACCAGTCCCAGTCAGAGAATGACAGAACGAACTACAAGCTACAGATCAGCCAGAATGATCGAGTCGAGTAGCTGTACAGGGAAATGTACAACAGCATCCATCAACTGCACCTACACCTACATCTACATCTACATCTACACGAACAAAAAAACCCAGGACGCAATCACAAAGGAAAAGATGTCGAGAATCAGGTTTTGAACTCTAAATACACAAAATAATGAAACACGCCGGTCGAGGGGGGTTGTGTAAGGTATCTCCAATCCAGACCGGCTTTAAAAATCCCATCAACTCGCTAAGATAGAACGCATCACCCTCCCCCAAGCCATAAACAAAAACTCCCAATCATTCATCGTCAATCCCAAACACCACGATTCTGCCCACAGTACATCCCAGAATATTTCATATTCCCTTGCTCGGGTTCCTTTCGGATCGAGTCTAGAAAGAACAAAACAAGGGAGTTCCAACGTTGATGCGACAACCATGCAGCGAAAAAAACGGAAGTGAAATCAAATCCCCTTTCTTGTTGCATTCGTTTTTCTCTTAGATCGGGTAATGTACATAGTAATATACACGCCTCGAAAAAGGGAAATGGTGTTGTCGCGTACAACGTTGGAACATTTGAGTGTTCTGACAAAGGGAATTAAATGAGACTGGGAGAACCAATAGAGAATAGGTGAGGGAACAGAGGACAAGGAGAGGAAGAGCTTGAAGATGGAAGGGGGAAGTTAAGACGGCGCTAGCTAGCAAATGACAAAATTACATTTAGGCCTTGTTCTCAAGCTCAGCCAGAATCTTCTCACCCTTGGCGCGGGCAGCGTTGATGTCGCCAACCATGTAGAAGGCGGCCTCGGGGAGGTCGTCACCCTCACCAGCAATGATGGCCTTGAAGGAGGCAATGGTGTCCTTCAGGTCAACAAGGGTACCCTCGATACCAGTGAAGACCTGGGCGACGGCGAAGGGCTGGGACAGGAAACGCTGGAGCTTACGGGCACGCTCGACGGTGAGCTTGTCAGCCTCGGACAACTCGTCCATACCGAGAATGGCAATGATATCCTGGAGGGACTTGTACTCCTGGAGCATCTGCTGGACACGGCTGGCGGTGGCGTAGTGCTCCTCACCGATGATACGGGGGTCGAGCATACGGGACTTGGAGTCGAGAGGGTCGACAGCGGGGTAGATACCCAACTCGGAGATACCACGGGACAAGACAGTGGTGGCATCCAAGTGAGCGAAGGTGGTGGCGGGGGCGGGATCAGTCAGATCGTCAGCGGGCACGTAGACGGCCTGGACGGAGGTGATAGAACCCTTCTGGGTGGTGGTGATACGCTCCTGCATGACACCCATGTCGACAGCCAGGGTAGGCTGGTAACCGACGGCAGAGGGGATACGACCCAGAAGGGCAGACACCTCGGAACCGGCCTGGGTGAAACGGAAAATGTTGTCAATGAAGAGCAGCACATCCTGACCCTCCTGGTCACGGAAGTACTCGGCAATGGTCAGACCGGTCAGGGCGACACGGGCACGGGCACCGGGGGGCTCGTCCATCTGACCGAACACAAGAGCGACCTTGGAGTCACCCTCAAGCTGGATGACACCAGTCTCCTGCATCTCGTGGTACAGATCGTTACCCTCACGGGTACGCTCACCGACACCACAGAACACGGAGTAACCACCGTGGGCCTTGGCAATGTTGTTCTAAAAGGCCGAAGTATAAGCATTTTACGGTCATTTTCAATGGTAGAATAGAGAGGGGAAATCCTTACAATCAGCTCCTGAATGAACACGGTCTTACCGACACCGGCACCACCGAACAGACCAATCTTACCACCACGGGCGTAGGGGGCGAGCAGGTCGACGACCTTGATACCGGTGACGAGAATCTCGGCAGAGGTGGACTGGTCGACGAAAGCAGGGGGCTCGGCGTGGATGGGAGCGAACTTGGTGGCCTTGATGGGACCACGCTCGTCAATGGGGTCACCAGTGACGTTGATGATACGGCCGAGAGTGGAGGGACCGACGGGGATGGTGATGGGAGCACCAGTGTCCTCGGCGACGACACCACGGGAGAGACCCTCGGTACCTTTAGATGAGGTTAGTTGAAGCTCTCATATACAGTAGAGGCAGACTCAGTGGGTCCCCCGATCGGGTAGGGAACGACACGGTGGCCCAAGAAAGGGGTGAGAAGGGGGGGTGCGAAGCTTACCGTCCATGGCAATAGTACGGACGACATTCTCACCCAAGTGTTGCTGTAGGGCAATTGTTAGCTTTGGTCGATTTGAATCAAGGTTCAGCCAATCAGATCACGTACAGCAACCTCCAGAACGAGCTTCTGGCCGTTGTTGGTGGTGGTAATGGCGTTGTAAATGGCAGGGAGCTTCTCGCCGCTGAACTTCACTATAATATGGCGAATAGAAAGTCAGATACGGTTTTGTTGATGTTTTTGGGGTTGATTGCGATGATTTCGGCGATGGATTGGGTCCAGGGAAAAGATTTTCGCGAGGTGCCCATTCCGTCAGGAGTCGACAACACGTACCGTCAACGACGGCACCAATGACCTGGTGAACCTTTCCGGTCAGAGCAGCGTCGGAGCTAGCGAAGCGGGCAAGAGCCGGGAGAGCATTGGAGCGGACGGGCTGGAAGGCGCGGGCGACGGGGGTCGTCCGGGCAAAAGCAGCCCTGCCAAAGGACCGGGCGAGACCGCTAGAGAGATTAAAAAATTAGTTTCAAAATGAAAAAGAGAAGAAGCTTAAATGGATCAACAAGTCATACCTCTTGAACATGATGACGGTGTTGAAGAGCGAGATGTGATGGAAAGGAAGAGGTGAGGTTGGAACGGGAAAAGAGGGAAGAAGAGGAAGGGAAGAGGTTGGTGGATGGGGACTGCTGGCCCTTAGCCTTTCCGGGGCGGTTTTGCCGACGATCCCGTGATGAACCGAGCACCAACTTGAGCTTTCTACAGGGAAAGAGCTTAATTTTCTTATTTAGAATGATTTTTTATATAGAAATCTTCATCTTTATCTTTTTTAAATACCCATTGTCACTAATCTCGTGTGGTGAGGTGGTGACCGAGGAAAGCTCAGCCCGTTGCCCTGGAATTCGCGCACACACACCGGGGCTTGGCGGCCGGGTGCAGGGGAGCCACAGCGGTTTTTTACTGAATGACATGGCTGCCCCGGAGAAACCTCCATGATATTTCAATTAAAACATCTAGCCTGTACGGAGTAGGCTGGTGAAAGTGTTTAGAATGGAATATATCATGGAAGATGACCCTTTGGTCCGAACATCGGAAAAACTCTGACATGTTGTTGGGTCAACCAATTCCGGGTAGAAACGAACTTATATAGAATTTATAGACCTTATACACTAAATTATATATTCGAAGCTAATATTATGTTTTATATTCATTATAATTTCAATTCATATTTCTATTTCTATTATTTTATATCTCCATAAAAAACTAATTATTATTCTGTTACCCTCGAAACCGTGTTCCCGCAGGGATTCTCCGCACTTACGTTGGTTCCGAATCACTCCGTAGGCCACGCCATATCGGAACATTTGGAAGGAGACATATACACAGACACATACACGTATTTTATATCCTATATCACACCAAAACTCTTGCTCTATGGCTACAAAAGAGATACATTGATTATAGCACAGTACGGGATACACGCATTTTCCAATGCTTGCCAAAAAAGATAGAATGGAACAATCGACGGCCGCGCACACGGGCGGAGGCCCATCCTCCGATACAAAGACATGTCGAGCATGGCTATGGAAAGAGTAGCTTGTAATAAGATCGACATATAGGTCGTGCGATGGGTGCCGCCGTCCGTCCAGCGTAGTTATCAACTCATTCCCGGTCGGGCAACTGGTACACCTATGACTTCTCGGCAGGGGGGCTCTGGACGAAGCCCTTGCCTTCGTAACCCTCTTTGCTGATGCCGTGGATGGGGTTGATCTTCTCTTTCTGTAGTCGGATAGGTTAGCATCGTGCAACTCGGCTGGAGCAGAGACTTCTCCCGACTGCGGTCGGAAGGGGGAAACGGGAGTGATATGTACCAGGGCATATTCGTTGGAGGCCTCCTGCCACTCCTTGGACATGGTGGCGGGCTGCTTGCCGGCAAAGGCGTGGATGGCGTAGAAGACAGCAACGGAGACCGCAGTGAGCTGGAGCACCTTGGCGAACACGCGCATGCCCTCACCCTTGGGGGGCTGAGCGCGGGGGCCGTGGGCGCCGAAGGCAATGTAGTAAGCTGCAACAGAGGAAGAATTGATGTCAGCGGGAAATGGCTACTTGCAAAGACAATTGTGGAAGTTCGAGGGGGTGGGACCGTCCCGAAAACAGATAACCTCGGAAGCCCCAGGGTAGTCCAGGCGAGAGGCTGTCTTTCAAGGCCACCCGTTCTAGGAATATCACGTACCGGCCTTCTTCTCCTGCAGGGTCATCTGGTGCCAGTCAACCTTCATGCGGTCACGGAGCTGCATCCAGAGCTCGGCCTGCTCCTGAGGGGGCATGACCTCCCAGCGCTTCTCAATGTTGGCGAGGGTAGGGTTGGGGATAGCATGGTCCGAGGCAGCGCGGGTCTGCAGGGCGTTCACAGAGGCAGTCGGGGCAGCACGGATGGCCGCGGTGCTGCGAGGGACAGCGCGAGAGACGGTGCGAAGAAACATTGTGCGGCAGGCGGGAGGTGGCAGCACCACGTCTAAATCGAGTTCAATTGAGGTGATTAGAGGGAGGTCGGGAGGTTGAAAGCCAGAAAGCACGCCAGGGCACGGCTTAGGAGAGAGTGGAGGGGGATCGTGGATGGGGAATGACTTGAAGACGTTTCTTGTGGTTTGAGGTGGAAAGGCGAGGATCCGGTCGGGACTAGTGCGGTTTTGGTTTGGCCGGCTCCTCATTGGCTCGTCGCCCAAACCGGCTCTCCCAGTCAGCATCATCATCATTTTCAGCAATATGGCATGATGTTGATGTTCTTTTGAGTAGCTTGTGACCTCTTTTTTTAATATTTCAACTGTCATCACGCCTCTATTTGCTAATTTCCCCAGTTTCAGCCACTCGCTCAACTCTTTTTGACGGTCGTCGGAAGCTTTACCCGCCTATGAACTAACTCAGTCAAGCAATAACTTCGCCGGAAAAGCCAGGAGTCGTCCAGTTGCTTAACTATTCTACATTCAACGCCACACATCCTGAGAACCTCTCACCCACCATGTGCAGTACAACCAACAGGCAGCGAGATTTTGTGCCCGTTAACCAGATACTCTCAATCTGAAGTGGAAATCATTCAGAACGATTGGAACAAGGAAGTGGAATCAAGACTCTTCAGGCCTCTCGCGAAATGAAAACAAACACGGGCCAAGTCGTAACGGTCTTGCATTGCAACTAAGAAGAAAATGGGAGAACGGTGTGCAGAGAAGGTAATGAATTGATCGTTCCGCGGCGCCGTCAAGGGCGCACCCCTATCAGTCGCGCAGCCCGGATCCAGCCGGCGCTATCATCTATGCCTTGCCACCGCTGGCCTCCTTCAGGACTGTCTTCCACTCGATATCGGACTTGTCATCGGCGTGGATGGAAGTGACGACGTTGAGCGCGTTCTTGAGAACCTCGCGGGTGCTGGCGTAGATCATGGACCACTGAAAATGGAATTAGTTATTGGGTCTGAGATTGGGTTTGAACCTGGGTCTGGTGGGAAACTTACGAGAGTGGGGGTCTCGCTAGGCACCCAGGAGATGAAGATAATCTTGCTTCTGTGGGAATAATCAGGTTAGCGGGGGCCGGAGAACAATTGTGATCATGGGAATGCGCACCTCTTGCCCTCGCCGGGAAGCTCGTACTCGACATCGTAGACGGCGTAACGGGGGGCGACACGGCCCTGGCTGTCCTTGGCATCGGCGAGCTCGTTGCGGAAGACCTCGTAGTCCTGGTCCTTGCCGACTGAGTCTACGACAACCGACTTCTTGTCGTCGGCGATCTTGTAGATGATGTACTTGGTCTTGCCGTGGCTCCGGCTGAAGTCTTGGAAGGCAGTGATGCAGTCATCCTGAATCTGGACACTGTAGGCAGGTGTCAATAAATGGTGGAAAGTGAGGGGAAACCGGTTGCGAGCGCAGGAACCGACGACTTACCCGGATGCGAGCTGCGCGATATCATAGTCAGCACTGAATGTTGTATACAATGGGTTTGGGAGTCAATACTAACCGACATGATGGCTTATGTAGATGAAGGAGACAAAAAACGGACGGGGCTGTCTAGCGCTATGTCAGTGGCTGGGGTGGCCAAACTCAGGGGAATCCCTCGAGCTTCTCGGTTTGGTATGAGAAGCCAAAGTAGTATGCATTCCAATGACTTACAGGGATTGAAGGAGGCGGGGATCGAGGCAACGGAGACGGATGAGACGGGGAAAGATGGAGTTTGAGGGGTGAATTGTTTCCCAGGTGTTGCCATGACCATAGTGGGGGTTGCTGCACGTGATATCAGACTTTTGGTGATTAAAGTGCTCGGTACCTGTTTACAAGTGTAATTACATGTAGAGAATTGATCTAATATGGTTTTTAAAGGTTTTTAATATTTCCAAGGCCGTTGGGGCTTTTGACTTGGGGAATGACATATATTGTCTGGCGTATGCGTTGATAATGAACAATGTTTGTGTGCTCACGAGTCTTTTCCATTTGCATCCTCGAAGTATCAGATACTCCGTACATGATGTACGTCGGCTTTCGAAATCACACCATCCTAGACTACAGCTGCATAACATGTATGGAGTACATAGATGTGAGCTTCTCTCCAATGTGGGTGTCTGCGAGCTAAAATTGGCCGACCTTCAACCATGGGACACGTCAGTGGCTATTTTTGTCCAGGCCCACCATATGCAGACTATAGTACTGTAGGTTGTATATTCAAAGATGTACTGCGTCTGCCTATTATTATTCTACTGCCTAATCACAGATATTCAGTATCTAAATATATAACTTGGTAATGCTGGGAATCTAGCATCATACCCAAAATATATATATTATATAGCCCGGCAAGAGTGTATAGCTTCCCACTGAATCAATATAGATTGAAACCAGAAAATATATAAAAAAAACACATAGGTATCAACACGACAAATTCATTTCTCATTCCTAAATCCATAAACAACATAAAAAAAAAAATAGCCCAACCAGTAGATATGTACCAACCCAACCCTAAAGCCTGGTACAAACACAAGACCTAAACCTTCGGCGCCGGCGCAAACTTAGCCCTCATCTTATCCGCGACAAGCTTCTCATCATAAATGAAATTAACACTCTCATGCGCAACCGTCGCCTCAGCCCAGCGCTTAAACCTCGGAACCTGCTCTAGCAAAGCGGGCAACTTAGCCGAAACAAGACCATGCTCAGGCTTAGCGAAGCTCAGAATCCTCAACAAGAACGGGCCAGCCTGAACCTCCGCCAGGGTCAATTTCTCACTACCACCAAAGAACGGACCCTTGCCTTCCGTGTCGGCCAGGAGCGGCTCAACCTCCTTCACGACAGCAGCGACCAGCTGCTCGGCGGCGGCATCGCGCTCGGCGTCATCGGCGGCGCGGATACTGGCGAAGAAAGAAGGTAGGGCTTTGCTGAAGAAGGCGTCGACGAAGAAAGAGAGACGGGCGCGGTAGAGGGCGTTTTCGGTGGGTGAGGATGGGGGGAGGAGGTGGCTTTGGTGGGCGTCTGCGAGGAATTGCGCGACGATGCCGGATTCGGTTATGATGTTTCCATTGTAGGAGATAGTGGGGACGAGGCCACGCTGTTGAGGGTGTTAGTATACAGTTCACAGTGTATGATTCGTAGTATGTAGTGTACGTCGATTGATGAAAGAGTGGGTGTTGAGAAGAGCACTGTCACTTACCGGGTTGATCTCCAGATACCACGGCTCGCGCGGTGTGCTCAGGTCAATTGTGACTTCTTCGTAGTC